CTTTATAATACGCAGTCTGTATTCCTTACTTCTACACTCCATAATATAACTATGATGATTATAGGATGATTGTAAGATGATTATAGGATGATTGTAGGATGATTGTATTGTATGTATTGTGTATTGTATGTATTGTAATAGGAACAAACACAAACTAGTGATACCAGTTTCTCGACTCCACAGAGTCAGTAATTCATTTTTGGGGCAATGTATGTACGCTATTACAACAAAAGACCCAGAAAATATACAAGGTCTCTCTATTACCAAGTTTAAATATTTAATTAAACAAAAACTGTATAAAAAGGGTTATTATGATATAAATGAATACATGGTTGAATGGTTGATAATAACCCCTGGGAATGAGGTGGTTGCTTCCAAGCTGTTTCTAAAATAAATTTTGTAAATATTTTGTGACCATTGACATTGTAAAATTTATTAAAAGAAATCCCGCTGGGTTTCTTACTAGTTCTTTCCAGGACAGAGATTTTTTAGAACCAGTGGTAAAGTGAAAAATTGACTTTCAATAACAATTACTTGTAATCTATATTGAATAAAAAACTATTCTATTCTATTCTATTTATAAAATTAACAAATATAGAGATGATGAATTATAAAATTGATGTTTGCGGCTTTTTCTAAGACTAAAATCTTTAATTAAAGCACAATAATCTAACGAATGAGCTGCTACGTTATTTTCTATTGAAAGAATAGCAAGGGCTGAAAGCCGATCTTGTGTCATCGAATTCCTCAAATATGTTTTAATAATTTTAAGCCTCGAAAACTCCTTTCATCAGACGCAGTTGTGGTAGCAATAATTCTCAGGAATATTTCGATAGTGGGGTAAATTTCAGTAAATATTTTTGCTATTATGAATTTCTGCACCGAGATAATGTCATACACACGGATGAAGATATTGTTACGAGCTTAGGGTTCGTGACAATAAAAACTGCCGATTGAATTACCAAAATTTAAGCTTTAATTACTGAAGACCAATTAAAACTTAAATCACACTAATAATTATTCACACTTAATACTTTAGTTCACTTTATTTTAATCCGAAAGCTACGCTCGTATCTCCAATTCAATACTGCCCCGGTCACGACACAAAACGGCCTTATATAGGCCTTTTCCACCGAAACATCTAGAATTTTCCAGCAAATACCGGTCCCGACCGATTAGATGTAGAAAATTCGAGTGTGAAATTATCTAGAAAGCTTAGTTCCTCGGTTCGATAATAGATGGCGCTAGTGTCAAAACTATGGCGCGCAACAATATTCAGTTCTTCGTACAATTCATGTCCATCAATATCACTGACTTAGAAGTATATGGACTGGACATACCTACAAAATTAGCGTGACTACCTACAAAAATCTGGCGCATAAAATGGCCGCCTTTTATAGGGTTGTAACTCTGCAATATGCGCAGCTGATATCGATATTTTAACTAATATGAATTTTTTCTCATTTTATATAATTGGAATTGTTGCTTAATTTACTTTATTCCGTAGGTATTTACATAGATACAGGGCTGAATTTTCAATCGTCAAATAACTAATCTGGCGAATAAATGTGACTGACTGATTTATGGCTTTTGTGTAGATAGAAATTAAATCCTTCTTTTGTGTTGAAAGTATTACTGGGATGGTGATCCCAGATCCCATATTATTAATGTAAAATAATAATGATTAGTTGAGTAAAAATGAAATAAACTGTTTTAAAATCAATATTTATTTATTATTAATTTTTCTGCACATAATTCATCACAAATAGTAAGTTATACAAGCAAGTTGTATATCATATTTTATTTATTCATTCGGATCATATCAAATTTCGAAAAATTCGATAATCTGGCATGATCACGAAATATGATATGCAGGATAATATCCTGGATATCATATTTCATTCACCATTTCATGATCATGATAGATTTTATATAAACTATTATTATTATTATTTGTTCATTTCTGAACAAAATTATTTTTTAATATAATTTATATAAGACAGTTTGTCACTGCTTCTTCTTGCATGGTATCTGAACCTTTTTCTGCCACAAATCCCGCAATATATTCTAATAAAGCAATTGATAAGGTTTTTTAATAATTTAAATAACGACTCTAATAAAGGCATACTGAAGACCACTCCTGAAAGTGTTTGTTTTTTTTCCCCAACTAGTAGCGACAAACATCCATATACTGTGATTTTTAATAATTACAAAACTTCTTAGCAGTTTTTTTATTGGCTAAATAAATTACAAAATTATGCATCTTACATAAAGTAACAATTAAAAAATACATTCCTAACATAACACTTGAAATAAACTGTAAGACACTTATTTGACATAATAAAATATAAATAGAAGAAAAACACCTACTATAAGATAAGATTGCACTACACAACAAAAAAACTTTTAGCATTCACCAGTTTGACAGCAGATCTACCACAAAACTCAGCGCTTAACATGGCGACGCAGTCACGCATGGATGAGCTAATGACGTCACACGAAAGTGTTGTCAAAATAAGCAATTGACAAACTGTTGTTGTCTCCCTTTTCTAATGAAGCTACTGCTTTGTTAAAAAGAAACAAAAGTATTTTTGACAAGTGTGTGTCGATTATAGATATTTGTATAACTATTATTTCTATAGTAGAATACGCCGCCTCCATAGGTATTATATCTATATGATCAATATCACATGATTCGCCTACTGTCATAGATATTTGCAAGTCGCTGCATTGCTTCAAAAGGTCACTATCACTAATTTCCTTTAATCTTTTTTTATTATACATGAAAACAAATATTCCCTCATGATGTTTAAGAGCCTCAAACCTAGGATGGCAGCTTGCGCGCATATTGTTGACAATGACATAAAAGCAGTTTATTTTGAAAATTTATTCCGTATTCAATTCATGAGCTTCATCTTCCCCATCATAATCCAAATGCCTTTTTTTACGTCGTCTTCTGACTTCTTTGAACTGTCTGTCAATATCGTTTTCCTTGGCTATTTCTCTTGCTGTTACAAGGGATGACTGAAAACCTATCCTAAACCTACCTTTCTCTATAATTATCGAGCTAGTTTGTGAATACATCACACATCTAAGTGCATGTTTTCACTTTGCCACATTTTACTTATAACATTTATCTTTGTAAGAATGTCATACCATATGACAAGTGCTACTACAAATTCGTAGGTAGTTATTTCCTATTCTATAGAATGGCATTCACTGACTAACTGACATTCTGTTGTATTTTCTGCTAAAACCTTTAAATCATCACATATATCGCCTAATTGGTATTTGACGGCCTTCACTGATGCTACCCTGCACGATTTTACATAAGCATTTAAAATAGCCCACCTCTGACTTGAGCCGGCAAACAGAGTGTGCAAACCAAAAAAAGATTTTACTTGGACACAGAAAACTGTTCTAATTCTGAGATTATATAATTAGTCAAACTCTCAGCTGTGGTCTTTTCGACGGCTAGGAAACCAATAAAATGTTCTTCAATATCAGCTGTATTTGTAGTGAAAAATCTTATAATAATTGAAAGTTGTTCAACACTTGAAACGTCGCGAGTAAAATCAAGAATAATTGCGTAATATTTATTATTTTTGCGTCTTCAAGTGACGACATAAATTATATGAGCTCATTTTGAATGTTTTCAGCTGGATCAGGATAAGAGTCACTTTCAGTCAATAAATGTTTTGTAGAGGTTTCTTGATCATCACTTTTTATATATTTATATAAAGATCCACGTAGATTTTCTTTTACCTGCTTTCTTTTAATAGCTCGTTTGCTTTACCCCCGGGCGATTGCCCCGTTCGCCACCCCCTAAGGCCGTCGAGCACGAGATAAATTAGTACTAAAAATTGTAATTAGCTACTCAATATATTATATATTCATAGTTGATAAAAATTAAGCTCGAGGTGCTCGCATATTGTGAAATTTATAGGCAGCACTTAGTCCTTGAGCTACCACGGCTTTATATAAATAAATAAAAAATATATAGTTTCGTGATTTATCATGTGGATAGTTTATAGACTTAGGCATTTTGACTGTGGTACTAAGGTGTGGCTAAGTGACAGAAAAACTTTATGGATTCTGTTTAGCACCGATGAGATTGAAAATATCAAAACCGAAAAGGTGCGGCAGCAGCATCAAAGGTGCGAGACGTCCGATACTGCGATGAGGCGGATTATGAAAAATTTTTCTTAGAACGAGGGTGGTAAATTCCAGCAGTGAACTTTAATTTTGTCCCTATCAATAACGGCTAATATTTTAGTCGATATTATGTAGAAAATGGTTTATAGTTGGTAGCAAATAGTAATTTTTGCTGCTCTTTTTAGTAATTTATCAAATAAGTTCTGGTCATTAAATCAATGAAATTATCCTCAAAAACAAAATTTTCAGGACTTTTCTATTCCTCGTACTGACCATGACCTCAAGTATAATCTAAGATCTTGATGTAGACAGAGAAACCTATAGACAAATTGACGTCTTCTTTCGTATAGAAAAAGATAGATTTGTGCATACGTCTACCATAGAAATGAGATAGAGCGGTGTGATTGTTTGTCCCTTTCTCCGTGTCGGTTTTTTTTAACTTTGACAGTTCCTAGCGATCTAAGGAGTTTACAAGTTGGTTTAAGTGAGAAAAAAAGTGTTTTGTGAGCTTAAGATTGGTGAATCTTGTTCAGTTCAGTTCTTAGAACGATTAAAATTTTTATCTAAATATGTTTAAGTCATAAAGATTATTGTATAACCTAAAACTACGTTATCGTCCTTTCTCACTCGAGGCCACGCTAATCATTAGTCTAAAGATTTCTCTGTCTACGGATCTTGATGACCACCTTTTTGACATTATAGTCTTTAAGTCGATCTAATTTTTTTTTATATTACAACACTTGGAACACAAATGTCATTGCTCAATGCTCATTGTCAATGTCAAAATAAAAAATAGAGCAAGTAGGCGTATTCACCAAAAATAAATTACACAAACTTCCTTTACAATGGTATTTAATTTATATTCAAGTAATACTTCTAGAATTTTGCAACTTCTCATGTCTCCGTGTTATTTTTTTTACAGATCCGATTTATTTTAATTCAAAACCGAGCGGGTAAGACACGTCTAGCAAAATGGTATATGAATTTTGACGATGATGAGAAACAGAAATTAATAGAAGAAGTACACGCTGTTGTTACTGTGCGCGATGCAAAGCACACGAATTTTGTTGAGGTAAAACTTAGCCATTTACAATCGTTCTTTTATGTTTTCTATTAACCTATTAAAATATACAATTATTGATGTAATTCAATTGGTACAATGAATTTCAGTTTCGAAACTTCAAAATAGTGTACAGGCGATATGCAGGCTTATATTTCTGCATTTGTGTGGATGTGAATGACAACAACTTGTGTTACCTTGAAGCTATCCATAACTTTGTTGAGGTGTTGAACGAATACTTCCATAATGTATGTGAATTGGATCTTGTATTCAACTTTTATAAGGTAAGTGGCGATAATTCTTGTGTTCGATACTTGCTAACTGTAAATAATAAACAATAATATTTTTTTTGTAGATAAAGACGTTTGAAAAGAATTGATTTCTTATGGATGTATTTTTTTTAAAAATATATATTTAAAAATTTAATTTTTTAGGTATACACAGTGGTTGATGAAATGTTCCTAGCAGGAGAGATCAGAGAAACCTCCCAAACGAAAGTACTGAAGCAGCTTCTCATGCTAAATTCTTTAGAATAAATATTATTTAGATTAATAGAGGCTTCATCTACTGAGCGTATACAAATAATATAGTCCATTTTCCATAGATACATTTCCTAAAAATTCCGACAGGCGAGAGGGTCAAACTTGAATTCTTACTCTTTTCTCCAATATTATTTCTAAAATATGGAAAGTTGAATAAATCAATTACTTTGTCATTTCTATATATTTGTGGTTTATGATGTTTTAACAAGTTTACAACATTTGCATTTAACAACATCCTAGAGTTAAAGGATGCTGTGAGCGGTGTCACATTATGATTATTCTACTACTTTAGCTCCTACACTTTAGGAATGGTTTTGCTGCGACATCACAGTACTAGCATAATAAGCTAGGTGTGAAAATGCACTGCAGACAAGCACTATAGTATATAATGATTAATTGCAAGCATGTCATGTTGCATTTCACCACATGTTGATTCATGCTACAGATTTTTATATGTGCTATGTCTCAATGATACCATTCAGGATCTGCAACACCACTGTAATCCACTGTGTGGCCTCACTATTATGTATAATCCGTCAATATGAGAAAGAAAATGAGTAGTGTTGTTATAATAATTGAGAAAGGAACCTGAATGACAGCTTGAAGTTCTAATAATAACATGTAGCTTGTGTGATCATTTTACTCTGTTCAAATGAGCAATGTTTCTTAGATCTAATAATATATAAATAAAATAATTTTTATTTTTATAACATACATCTAGGTATCAAAAGAAGATGTAATAGATTCACATGCATTAATTTTCCGTTTCATAATATACATTCCTTAGAGACCTTTGTAACCCCTAGTTGAAGGTTTTTGCAATACAGTTACCGTTACAGCCTATTAAAGTTCATGAACATAGCCCTCTCCCATAGATTTCCTCATAGGGGGCTATTTGCCATAGTTACCCCGCCTGGCAAGTGAGTTACTCATCTCCAGATTTGTTTCCCTCTGTCGTCTCTGACGACACCCATTGGAGAATATGGGGTAGTGGATATTCTTATACCGATACTACATGGTTTGCAATAAGGAATAAATAAATAATAAATGTGTGTTTATGTAGTGCAGTAGGTTTTTTTTACAACAACCTTTAAATGTTAGAAGAATTTGCAGTGATGTAATGAAAATTTTAATGTTTTGAAACTATAGTTTATTAAGATAAACTATGGTAAAACAAATGCTCTTTATTGTATTTAAAACCAAAACAAGGGCTTTGATATGCAAAAATAGCACTGAAAACACAGTAATACTGTATTTACTTAGCAGATTCAGTAATATTACCAGCTGTATATAATACTATTTAGACTGAGATCTGAATGGGAGCCTTTGGCGGGGCATGCAGTAAGGTGGTTTCCATAGTGTGTAGTCGTCTGTGGAATTGGGTATACCTGTTATATTTCGGGTGAACAATTTATAATCATATGAGTGAATACAACACATTGTTATATAAAATATAAGAAATAAACAAAACACAACTCCAGGGGAACTCCGAACAGCAGAGATCCAACAGCCAAAGTTTAGTGGAAAAGTGAGAGAAATCATGTGTATGATACAAATTGTATTTAGAAGCCACTGTTTATATTACAAGAACTTTAATATATTATAGTAATAATTATTAAAAATCTCAATTTTATTATATTAGTACACTGGCTTGTTAAACCTCTTAGTATATGTATAGCTGTAGATGAATTAAGCAAAATTATAAAAATTATAATAGTGCAAAATGAGATCAAAAGTTTTGCCCCATTTTGAATTTGTATATACTAATTTATATCTGTACAATTTTGTGTGCATTTTGTTTAAGTTAATAGTGTTATTTTAAAAATTATCGATTTCAGCAACACTTAAATATATAACACATTACATATAAAATATACTTACTGTTCTAGGAAATTGATGTGCTCACAACTTATCTGCTATTCCAAATGTTTGTGATACTTAGTTTGATGTATTAAATACCTAGAAGTTTTGTATTAAAATATTTATCAAACATAAAAGCATGGAAAATATTTTGTTTTATTAACTAAAATAATTGAGTTGTCTTCAGATCTAGCTGAAGATCACAGTTTTTTCAAACTCCTTTTTAAAATCGGTTAAAAAGAAACCGAAGTAGTTAGCTGTAAAAACTGCCAAAGAGTTTTTTTAAATATGTTAAACAATTTCTAATTTAGTAAACTAAATGTGCATTGCTTGCTTTGGTCAGGTGTACATTTTAAATGTCGACCATGCCGACTTTCGTCCACACTGACAAGAGGTTTATTAACTGGAAGCTTCTTTTTAATTCACAAGAAATAAAGGATTTTATGTTTTGATTAAGAATCAAAATGCAGACACTTTGTCACTCGTGAGGACTAAGATGAAATGTCTCATTTCCATTACAAAGGGTCTCTGGTTCTCTACATTCACTATACGAAAAACAGCGGCATAAGCTACTACTTACATTACGCTGGTATTTTGTGAGAATGTTGTATTCTATATAGCACAATGTGAGATCGAGCCGACTGATTCGTACTGCAACCATAACAGCCGTGCCTTTACCATGTATAATAAGCAAGCTACTCATGCCCTATGTAACGAAAACTAGCAATTTGGGTTTTTGCACAAATTTTTGACTAATAGACACGGTGGTCCTCAAATAAACTACCCATTGCACTGTAATACTGTTCTGATAACTTTTTTAAAGGTTTAATATGCTAGGCCTGAAGGTGACACACAAACGAATAAAAATGAGTGTAACGAAATAACATTAATTGGAGGAACAGGCGAACAAAGACTTTGTGAAAGATGTTTTGCTAGAAAAATTTGTTCTAGGTATACTTGGTAAGTGATGCGGATAGGAACCGGAGATGTAAACCACCTGCTGGGCACGCTTCGAAAAGACGTGCCTAACAAGCGCTATCCTGAAAGATGCCACCGAAAACGTTTAAGATACATACTTACGTGTCGTGGTTCTTACTGTCGTGTTGTGGCGTATTCTGGCGTTATTTTTGAACAGTATATATCAAACATTTGTAGCTTTTAACGTATCAAATGTATGCTTCGGATTCGGATAGCGATTTTGATGAAGACTTGCAATTTGTATTAGCATTGAAACCTCTTGAAAGCAAAACACAGAAAAAAGGTACTGGGTTCACCCTATAAACAGATGAAGGTAGAAAATAGGTGAATTTCATCTTGTTAAAGAAATAGAGAGTGACAAAAAGAAATGACATCAGTACTTCAGAATGAACAGTTACTCGCTAGTTGAATGATGCGCCACGACGCGTGTCTTCTGTCTTGCCTCCCATCACCGCTCTGGCGCAATCGGTGGCGATCGGTGGTGTGTCCCAATTAAATTTATGAAACTGATGTGATTCTGGCGCGTCACGACACGCTACGACACGTAAATATGTTTCTGCTTTTAATCATCAATTCCCCTTCCATTGTTGAGCTTTATTAACCGACTTCAAATAAGAGGAGGTACTCAATTCGACTGTATGTATTTTATGTGTGCTACTTTAGAACTTCTTTCTAGGTAAACCGATTTTGATGATTCTTTAATATAGATTTTTTATTTGAAAGCTCGTGCTTTTCATGTGGTCCCATATAAATTTGATCAAGATCTGACCGATAGTTTTTGAGTTATCCTTAATAATGCGTTATTTAATTGACTTCGACTACATTGATGTTTTCATTTTATTACCAACTTAAAAAAGGAGGAGGTATTCAATTCGACTGTAAGTTTTCTATGTGCGATATGTTAGTACTTTTTTCTAGGTAAACCGATTGTGATGATTTTTTTATTTGCAAGCTGGTGCTTCTCGTGTGGTCCCATATAAATTTGATCAAGATCTGATCAGTAGGTTTTGAGCATAGAATACTATAATACACAATAGAATGGCTGTCAACCTTATTTTGTAGGAAGATTGGTGTCGCCGGGAGCACACATACAAGCAATTACGTCGTATTATCCAGTTATCATTACTACAAACACATTTTAGACATAAATGTTTCTTCATTTTTGTTTCTAATATTCACAAAGTATAAATAGTTTCGACTTACTGGTTGTAGAATATGTCTCCTTTATTTAAATTCCATTTCCCGCTGTTCTTTCGACACGTAATTATTGCATAATTTGCCTTTTTAAATAATTTGCGTGCAGCGACGCTTGATACGAAAATTGGAAACGATTGATTTTGACATTTATACATGTGAATTGACATGTTAGTGGCTACACGAGCTCCGTCCACTCCCCCGTTCTATTATGTATGTATTATAATATTCTATGGTTTTGAGTTATCCTTAACAACGCGTATTTGATTTAGAATACATTGATGATGTTTTTATTTTATCTATATTGAAGTCGGTTGTATAAAATGTTTAGTTTTATTATTGATTCACTCTTGTTTCTCACTTTGAACAATATTGGAGCATAATTTACTCATCAACAACTTTGAGCATGTGTTCTCAATAATACACATGAATTTTGTCTTGTCCAAGTTAATCTCAGGAAATGTTGACTCTTTGAAATATATTTTTTAAAAGAAAAATAAATCATTGTACGTAATAAATTTAATAAAATTAATTAAATAAAAAAATTATGAGTATTAAGCAGTGTACTTGACTTAAAATAATTTCTTTTCCGCTACTTCCATTCCCAATTGTGCAGAACGGGGGGAAACATCCAGAGGTCAGGGTGTCCTATGTGTGAAATGGTGGGACCCATATCGAATTCACTCCACCTGCAATAATTAAATACATTTATTCCATGCATCCATTACCTATACAATGAGAATCCACTCATTCCGATTCGTATTACAGGCACATCACACAACGACACTACACCCACACTAAATGGGACAAACACAAATAGGACAACGAATGGGACGCGTCGCACCCGCAGACGGGCACGACGCGTTCCAGCTCACACCGCGTACACACCGTACACCCGCGTTCCTGGACGGTTCTCACCGCCAGAACATCGACCGACACGGGCTGAGCAGTCAGAGACGGGGGTCCGCACACCCCCCCTCGGACTGCGGTTAGATAGCTCAAAGAAAAAACGCCTAAAAGGCGACATGATGATTGATAACAATATCAAATCATAAATCATTCATCATCATTTTCACCTCATTGCCTTTCCCTTTTTAATTAGCCCTGTGACAAGATGAAGCTGTAAGAGTCGCATAGACTAACAGCATTAACATCAAGATAATAGAGAGTTGACTGTACATGTGATTACTCTGCTTGCAGACTAGCAAATATTTAGGTACATAAAACAAAAACTATCTATAAGTGGAGCACATAAATCATTAAACTAATTTTTCCATTAACCATTTTCTAAAATTATTTTTAAAAAGAGGCTGCTTCTTTTTCTTTTAAGTTTTTAGGTAATGTGTTGTAATATAATAATATGCTTATGTTATATACAATTCTCTTATACATATCTTTATGACAGGAAGGTTGATATATAAGGTCCGCTATATACTTCTTAAACGCCTTATATCTATATCTTGGCGGGTTTATGATTTGACAAAAAGACAGCCTTCTTTGATATATAAACAAGGTATAGGCTATGGAAGAATATTATATTTTTTTTAAAGCAGTGACCTAATGTTAAAAGGGCTAAAGTACGTTTTATTAATAAATTATATTTTAAAGCAAATTTATTGAAAAATATGAAAATTGTTTGTGCTAAAATTGCTTCCAAAAGATACTATGCAAAAAAGGCCATTTTAATGTGTACTTCCATACTGTTTAATAAATTAAAATATGTGCTTCTGTACAGTACTGTACTGTTTAATAAAAACGTACTTGGCCCTTTTAGCAACAGGTCACAGAAAGTGAGGTTTACAACTATCTAAATACCAAATGTCGCTGAAGGCACGGATGCATCGTTTTTTAACTAAAAGTGCTCTTTCTACCTCAACAGAGTTACCCCAAAGCCCCAAGAAATTAGAGATGACTTCTGTCCTGCAGTTGGACATATATTATACAATGTAATAAAAAACTTTATTCTGGGTGTAAGTTTACTGCAATATACTTGACACTGGTAAAAATACAACAGTACAGAGTCCATTACCAAAGAAAAAGGTAGGTGTACTATTTAGAGGAGGATCGTGAAATTTGTACTTACGCGAAAGGCGGTATCCCCCTCGAGATATTGTACATAGGTCCAGAAACTGCGATGAACTGGTATTGACTACGCAGGTAAGAGCTGGTCACCTTCGCGTCCGTGGCCCCGTGGCTGCGGTGGCCCAGCGCGCGGAACGGATATGTGCCTGCAATTTAGTGCGAGTTTTATACAAAGACTTCTGTATATAATACTGGACAGGCAATTTAAAACAAAAACTTTGTCACAGCTTTGGATAGCGCAGGCGGATAGCTGGCACGGTGTGTCATTCATTCATTTCAAGTGACCCGATCATTCATGTATTAGGAACCAGGTCATTCGGGTCGATCATTAAAATGGATTATTTCGAGTTTTCGTACAATGTGATCTGTGAGATTCGCTCAAAATTGTCGATCGTCGGACATTACTATACTTACTCTCTGATCGTAGTCCCTGTCAATTGATCTAGAACGTTCAAAAATGTAATTGAAATTATCGATTCTTTGATGCGACCCTGGTCAAATGAACTAATCATTCACGATTAATCCATGTCAATGACATGGTAAATATGCCACGCAGTTGCATTTTCATTTACGACAGTTTTCCTTCACCGGCCAGTTTCTATGAAATAAAGTTACATTCTTATCTAAAATAAACTACAAATCACGTTGGCAAAGTGCGCACTTAAATAATGACACAGTCACAAAAAACAGAATCATATGATGCAAAAAAATCAAAAAATTAGGCATTAGAAAAACAGTTCAAGCTGAAGAGAGATACAGAGGCTAAACAAATCCAAAATACGAAGAATTTCTACTACTATAAACTATTTCAAAATTCCACTAACAATCCAAAAAATGTGGCACCTTATAAACAGCAAACAATAAAATAAAAAAGTTGTGGTTGTCCAAAACTTATTGTAGATTCCAAATTAATCAGTAACACAGTCGAGATTTGTGAGGTTTTTAATGGATATTTTTCAACCATTGGATCCTAGTTAGCAGATAAAATACCTACGAGACCTCGTAAGATATGTTATAGTAGCTCAACTTATCCTTTCTCCAAAATACAAACAATAAATGATAACTTTCTACACTGGTCCCATGTATTGCTTTTATTTATTTATTACATTTCTTAAATTATATACATTAAATGCATAGGGTATGTAAAATCATTTAAAGGTAAACACTACATGTTATTTTTGCTAGTATTCCTGAATAAATCTTTAAAGTGAGTTAAAAACAGAAACAATAAAAAAACGATATAAAAGTAATTTGGTAAAGCCTGCTAATTAAATTAGCAAAATTATACAAAGCCTCAATTTGAATTTTAGAAGTGGTATAGACAGAATTAGCATAAAGACAAAAGATGATAAAGTGCCTACAAAATTCATTGTATGTTTCAATAAACTTATGATCGATTGAGTTTCCAGATACTATGAAGGTTGCAATGGCGTTCCTTGGGAAAGGCCTGTATTCAGCAGTGGACTTGTGAAGGGCTGTAATGATTATAATGATGATGAAAGTTGCAAAGGTAACAGTAATATATAAATTGGGACTTAGAACCGACCCAGGAAACTATCGTCCGATATCTGTGCTGCCAGTCATGTCAAAAATTTTAGAAAAAAACGTACATAACAGCTTAGTAAATTACTTCAATATGGATTTTAGAGAGCCGAGCCAAAAGTAGCACCACTACCGCAACAATCGATCCAACAACGAAAAAAGATAGTATAGATAAAAGACAAGTAGTTTTGGGTGTTTTTATCGATTTTTAAAAAAGCCTTTGCTACTGTAAGTCACAAATGTCTATAAGAAAACCTTGAAAGCATTGGTATCAAAGGTAGAGATCTGAAAATATTTAGTCACACCTATCAAATAGATCGCAAGTGTATTTTAGTTCCTTTGTCGGGGTGTGTGTCAATTTTTCTCTATGTAAACAACATCACAGAACTATAGCTACATGGCCATATAACATTGTACGCGAACGATACATATCAATTTTATTTCAGATCTAATATATATATAAATATCATGTCACGAGCGCAACAAGATCCAAAACTATTGTTTGAGTGGTCCTAATATAATGGTAAACACTTCTGAAACGTGTTACATAATTTTTAAAGTAAAAATACCTAGGCTTGAGAATGGACAACTATTTAACATGGAATAAGCAAATAGATCACATTGAAAATAAACTTTCGACACTTACTGGATGACTACACAATACTTCCCATTGTCTACCTAAAAATGAGGTACACTATTTAAAACTCATTCGTCAAATCACATTTACTTTATCTTATAGAAATTTGGGGAAATGCTGCTAAAACCACGTTATAGAAACTTCAAAGAATACAAAATAAAATCATGAAAATACCTGATGTTAAGTGACTACCACCGCCCATGATCAACCGCAACACCAGGGGAAATACAGGTGCGTTGCCGGTCCTTTAGAATGGAGTAAGCTCTTTTCTTGAAGGTCCCCAGGTCGTATCGGCCCGGAAAAATCGCCGGTGGTAAACTATTCCACAGAGAGGTCGTGCGCGGAAGAAATCTCCTTGTGAAACGTACAGTGGTGGACCGCCATACATCCAGATGGTATGGATGGTACGGGACGTTTGCCGCGTAGTACGTTCACGAAATTTGGCGGCTGGGATTAATCCGGAAAATTCCTCAGAGCACTCCCCACGGTATATGCGAAAGAAAATGTAAAGAGATGCATGCGAAAGAAAATGTAAAGAGATGCAACATCTCTTTGCAGTGCCAGTGAATCGAGCCGATCGGAAAGCACTCGGTCGTCGACGATTCGAGCCGCTCTGCGCTGGATGCGGTCAAGTGGAATGAGCTGGTATTGGGGAGCTCCAGCCCAGAGATGGGAACAGTATTCCATGTGCGGCCGAACCTGCGCCTTGTAAAGTTGCAGGCGGTGTGCCGGCTTGAAATACTGTCCCGCTCATGAAAAACTTTTAAAATTAAATATAATTTTAAATAACGTTCAACAACTACATATATATAATACTTTCATTATAATTAGAACAATAATTGATAAAACCGTACACACTAACCTGTCTTGTAAAAATAAAAAAAAACATGCGTGCAGCTCACACGCGACAGAAGTGAAACCATCAAATGAAATGTAATATGAAATACAAATATTTTACGGCAAATGATTTATTTAATATTATAATTTAAACTTCAAGTTCGGGTAAAATATAAGAAAATTTAATTTTATAGCAAATAAATGTAACAATACAATGATTTTTTATATATATATATATATATATATATATATATATATATATATATATCCTTTTTTTACCTTTTTTTATAGGATAGGGTGACAAACGAGTACACAGTTACTATGGTAGTGGTCTGTAATATCTATCCTCGATTACGAATCAAAATGCAGATGCGTTGTCATCCGTAAGGACTTAGATGGAATGCTTCGTTTCCAGTGAAAAGGGTCTCCGGTTCTCTACACTTACCATACGAAACACAGCAGCATTAAGCTGCTATTTGACGCTGGTATTCTGTGAAAGCGTGGTCCTTTCCCGGTCGAGCCGACCCATTCGTGCTACAACTATACTACTAATATAACTGCAGCATGGCTCTACCATGTAAAAACCTTCATACCTTGTTGAACAAAACGCGTAAGCGACGCGTTTCGGCGGCCGGCATTTACGACTTTTTTCTCACGAGTATTGAGCTATAATCTATAATGCTTCCTATCTCATTTTCTCCCACGTTAAATCTTATGAATTTATGTGTCTGTCTCTTTTTACTATCGCTTTTTCGTTTCATAGACTTTTAAATCACAACGATACTAAAGAAGTTTTCACTTCAAAAACCACAAATTTGTAAACGCAGTCTTCGTCGCTAGCTTACTTGTACTACCAAAGGTACGAAAAAACTACGTAAAATAAAAGCATTACCTTTGAAAGAGCACAAATTTATTATGAATTGCCTTGTAATATAAAAAAATTTAAACTTATTTAGAAGTTCTAAGTGTCAGCTGTCTTAACATATAATTGAACATTTTTCACCATTCAATTGAGGCTGTAAAGCTATTGACTGAGTGTTCGGCGACCTTTAGAATGAGTTTATTAAAATGTTATTATTATTTTCATGTAAGTGGTATTGTTTTTCCTTTTGAAAATAAATTTTATTTAAACCTAAATCAGTGTTAGATTGTCGAAAACGTATGCGGTTTACAAAACAAAGGACTAGTCTTTAAAGACTAGTCCTTTGTTACTTAAGGACTTAGGACTTAAGTCCGCTCGCAGTCGACCAAAAAAGTTTCGGAGAATTGAGCGTAACGTAAAGCCGCATATCGATTACGCGCTCCTGGCCATGAATGACCGCGTCGACCAATGCGTTCCGCGGAACGCGTTCCAAATGTTCCAAGTATATCAACTAAGCGCGCCTGGCGCACGCGGCAGCTGTTCCAGTGTTTGACCGTTCAACATGGATGTGATTTCAAAATAGTGGTAGAGCTATGCTGCAGCTATATTATGGTTGTAGCACGAATGGCTCGGAGCGACCGGGGTTAGACTACGCTCCCAGCTCTCACAGAATACCACCATGAAATAGCAGCTTAATGCTGCTGTGTTTCTCTCCAGTCTTGTCGGTTTACCATCCCATCGGACTATGAGAGTGAGGTGATAAAAGTACATGTCCTGCACAGATGGCCAGTTTCGATTAAGACTGGCCGCCACGTTCGAAATTCGGTCTGAAAGACATTATTATTATTATTATGCAGATTAGAATTTAAATGGATTCATACCGTTGGCTGGATTGAGGTCGTTTCGTGCGGCGATAGCATTACACGCGCTGTAAGGGGGCGAGCACTGTTCGCAGCGGGCCAGAGGATCGTGCTTGTAGTCATTGTAGCGCATGGTACGACACATATCCTGCAGATTCTTGATCTCGGCCTGGTGGCAAGTGAACAACTGAATATTCGTACATTTATTATAGCATTGCATTATAGGTGAGGTGTCATCGAATATATGGGGCGGCGCAAGGCGTGTGCGGAGTAGGGCTACGGCCTCGTGGAAATATTAAGCTAGAACGATGAAATACAATGAATGAATGAGAATGAAATAAGTCAAAACAGCGTTATTTTTAAAAAAGTAATCAAATTTGAATCTTAAGTGAATCTTAAGTTAAAATATAAATACACAATTTTATACGTGGTAGAGCCATGCTGCAGTTATATTATGGTTGTAGCACGAATGGGTCGGCTCGGCTGGGGCAGGACCACGCTCTCACAGAATAGAGCTGCTATTTTAGCTTTATGCCGCTGGGTTTCGTATGGTGAGTGTAGAGAACCGGAGACCCCTTTTACAGAAACGAGGCATTCCATCTTAGTCCTCACGGGTGACAACGCATCTGCATTTTAATTCCGAATCGAGGATAAATATAGATGTCTATGGGCCACAGCATCCACTTTACATCAGGTGGACTGTGTGCCTGTTTGTCACCCTTCTATACCTTTCTAAAAAAAAACATAATGATATACCGTTATTGTAGTTTATGAAAATACGAGTAAATGAGGCTTCCACGTTTATTTAAAACTAGCTGTTCCCGGCGACTTCGCCCGCGCGTAATTAGTATTTTAGTATTTTTGAGCGGCACCCAAATTTTTTTTCTAAAATAAAAGTAGCCTAAGTTACTCTTTATAACATCAGCTATTTGCCAAAATAGTCAAAATCAGTCCAGCCGTTTCGGATATTAGCCGGAACTAACAGACTGACGGACAGACCGACAGACAGATAGACAGACAAACAAATATTTAAAAACTGATTTTTTTTTTGTTATAAGTAGAGTATATTACTTTCATATGCATTTATTTAGTAAAAAGCTGTTATTTTGACATTACAAACAGACACTTCAATTTTATTTATTTGTATAGATGTATAGATTATCCCAAATAGAATGTAATTCATGGGCAACAACATTTTTGCCTACTGATCGAGCCTTACGAATGTGTAAAATAGATTTAAAGGACAGAATGTTTGAAATATTTTTTTAATAATTTTTCTTCACCATTTGCCTATATTACTTATTCTGAACCTTCTCTGCAAATTTGACCGGTTACTCCAAAATAACCATGTATAATACGCTCTTTATCTGTACTCTCTGTAACTAACACGCATCCGTTTACTTCAAAATTTTGTGTAGTAATTTTTTTATCTGCTTTTTAAGGTAAACTTACAGTACAATAAAAATACATTATAAAACATATAAAGTAATCGTCAAACCAATGAAGTTTCCACAGATATGACAGACAGACATTGCTATTCCTAGTGTACATCAACAACATAAACCAAGCAGGTTTACAAGGTCAAATATCCCTTTACGCAGATGATACGTGTTTATTCTACTTTGGAAACAATATATCTCGTACCATAACACTAGCTCAAGAAGACTTAAACCTACTCCATCAATGGTTTCAGTATAATCTTCTAGCTATTAATGTAGCCAAGACTTCATATATAATTTTCAGCGCCAAGAACAAAAAACTCCCTAACCAAAACCACCTTACTTTGACTATAAACGGAGAAACGTTACAGATAAAAAATCAAGAAAAATACCTTGGACTGTTTCTCGACAGTAATTTGACTTGGAATGCACATCTCACACATATTAAAAACAAACTTTCCTCTCTCGTTGGCCGCCTTCACAAAATAGTTCGATGTATTCCGAAAAAAGCTTGAATCCTAATATATAACTCTCTAGTAAAACCTCACTTACTTTACCTTGTAGAGGTATGGGGTAATGCAGCCAAAACCAATCTTAAGTCTCTCCAAGTGCTACAAAACCGTATCATAAAAATTTTGTATAACTATGACTTTTTAACACCAACTAATACAATATATAAGGAAACTAAACTGTTGAACGTTACTCAACTTTATACATATAGCACATGCATACTAATATATAAAATAAAACATAAATTAATCCACACACAACTCACGTTTTTAACAAAGAAGCAAACAAACAAATACATAACACGCCGAGCTAGTCACTTTGTATTTCCGCCTATAAGAACAAACTATGGTAAAAATAATATAACGTATAAAGGAGCACAGTTATACAACAAATTACCTAAATTTGTAAAGGAGGCGTAATCTTTGAATGTTTTCAAACGGAAGTTACTTACCTACCTATATTTATAACAGCTAAATACCTAACCTTAATCATTATTAAATAAAAAAAAACATTATTATACTTGGACCACCACCTTATAGTTTGAATAAACAACAAAGATATTCGCTTCTTAACAGCGACATCTAACAAAGTTATTTATACCCGCACTAAAAATTGTTATTACTAAGTTCATATAGTTATTGTTCTCATGTAAGTGACTATTGTCTTATTGAGAAATAAAGATCTTTAAACCGGATATGTAATACATAGTAATAGCTTGCCACCACAATAATATACGTATAATAATTTAAAAAATATAAAAGAATAAAAATAACTGAATGGTATTTATAATTAAACATTTAGTACTAAGCAGTTAAAAATAATACCATACATACAACCTAGTACAGCCAGCAATTATAAATTAAGTTTTACAACATTATATATAAAATAATATATATACAAATAATGGTAGTATATAGCGCGGGATTTCCCATTCCATTTGCTTCACAGTAAGTTCACGTGTCTAAGTCTCAACGGTTGCAAAGTCCATTAGATTGCCGAGGATTACCATAAAATGTTCACCTTGTTTTACCCAATTGACAATTCGTCGAAGTTGTTTATGGTACTATGTTGCAATAGGGTATTACACCTATTTTCGAAAAGTGTTTTAAATTAATCCTAGACTGATAATGAACTACTAACATTTATATATATATATATATATATATATATATATATATATATATATATATATATATAAACCGAATAGTTACATAAAAATTACTTTTAATTTTTCGTTTTAAATTTTCACACGAAAACGCTAGCCGCCATGCTGTTAAGCTCGTGATGTCATTGCTCTGGGATTTTGCCGATTTTGCAAAGGAATAACTTACTTTTGGATGTTTAATAATGAGTCATCATCCTCTTTATCACTGATGTGCCTGAATGCAAAAATACGAGCATAAGAACGCCAGGGAGGTTATGGATTCAACGCCAACTGATTTAAATATGAGAATACTTGGTTAAAACTGGCAAGAAGAGACTCGAAATATACTTCCGTGAAGATCATTTTGATGTAAAATGACTTATATTTAACTATATGGTTTATAGTTTATACAAAACATCATAAGATGGTAGATATTGCAAGTCAAATTTTGTAATAGGTTGCTAATGATTGTATTATCAAAATACACTCTGACCTAGTATTGTGCTATTGTATAAACAAAAGTCGTTCCTTACATTGATGTTTTAACATTCCTCGACTCAGCAGAACTAAAATCGGGATTGCATGCAAAAAAATTTGCCACCATCAATGATCCTTGGTAGATTAGTACTTTTTGATTTTACGATTCCGTCTTCCATGATGCCATTTGAATAAAATACTGAATGAGAGTTAACAATTGTGATGATAAATATAAAAATTTCGAAATAACACACAACATTTTAGCTTGTTTATTATAAAAATGACGTCACGACGGTTTCTAATATGGCGGATGGCATTTTTGAGATTTGTATCACAGATTTAAAAAAAAATATTTATACATTGAATTAAAATTTATAATGCATTTTTATGAAAAGAAATCAACATTTCTTGTTAACTTTTTACAAAACCTATCATAAATATGTAATGATGTGAGAGACAAAAATTTATTAAACAGCTCCGTTCATTCAAGGTGAGCGCAATTAGTTGTTTAAAAGCTACATATAAATAAATTAAAAGTGGTTGTTGACCAAGTTGAAGACCAACAGCGACAGCGATATTGCGATTAAATGACGTTAAGGATGTGTCATTCAATATCATCCTGATGAAGTCCCAGACGTCAGCATTTGCTCGATGTGAGCACGTTACAAGTCGAATATTCGGCTTGTCAGTACAGCGAACCGAGCTGCTCGTTGACGAGCGCCGAGCACCCGAGCGCGCTCCATCTGGCTGTCGGCTTTTTTGCCGATTTCCTTTGAATTTTAGTGTTTTTTCATTACAATAAGTCAGTCGCTAGCGCGAGCAGCGCCGAGAGCGCACTCGTTGTTCCGTTTGAAAACCAATTTTTCTTTAATCTTAAATAAAATTTTAATAATTTAGCTTTATTTCTCATTTGAACAAATTCGTTGTCCAAATTGTTTTCTTTCTTCTTTATTTAGGTAGCAATAACGGATTAAAATGAAAGCAGCACACACTACTTCTACGTCCGCCATTTTGACTACAACTGCTGGAGCACAATCAAGCGTATATATTCGTCGCGAAGATTCAGGTGTCATTAGCATTTGCTCACAAGTAACAAATTCTCAATGCGAATTTTCACACCGAGCAACTGCTCATTTCTTTGTAGATTCATTGATAATAAATTTGAGCATAATAGTCTACTCACTTGCTTTTCCTTCATTATTCGTGCTCTTGGATTGGTGTTGTAGCCGAACCAGTCGCCGAAGGTGGCCACCCGTTCGTTTCCGCCGCTCAGATTGAATATCGACGGGAAGTAAGCGATGTTGTATGACGGGAAGTAAGTGCTGCTTACTAACTCGTTCGTTCTAGAAGAAACAGGCTACGAGTAAATTAGGACGTTCGCGTGATTTCTAGTTCTAATACCAAGTCGTGAAGGTTTTTTTTTAAAGAAATTCTCAGTAGAAATCCGATGTCAGATCCTTAAAAAGCATGCAAAGCCGTTGGTCCTCTGCCTGATCTCTCTCCGGTCGTGTTGAATTGCCATCCCACCAGACTATGAAAGTGAGGGAATAGAGAGTGCACTTGTGTTTGCGCCTACACTCGGCCACTATAATCCTGTCCTGCGGCGATGACTAGTCTCTGTTGAGACTAACTGCCGTGACCGAAACTCGATCTGGAGGATTTTACTTGCCATAGTTGGTACACTTGGCAGGCAGCTTGGCAACCGTCTGGCAATCCGCCCATGTCCTGATTGTGAAATGGGGTAGTGTACATCCTTACACCGTCCTAAACGACTCAAAATAAGTGCTTACAAATCTGCAGCCTCGGTGTAACCAGGAATCTGTTCTACAATCCACAGCAGGCCTTTCTTGATCGAACCCGGTGAATTCTCAGTGCGAGGCGTGAACTTGTTATAGTCGACTATGTACCTGAAATTATATGGAATAGAATAGATATTATTTGTAAGACTAGCACATTAATAGATCCTACCCAGGCAAAGTCAGGCTCATGGCTAGTATTAGAACTATAGCTTATTAATTATATACTTGCAACTCTAGATGTCTGCATTTCCGTTGTAACCGTTACCATTTTTTTTATAGAATAGGGTGACAAACCAGCACACAGTCCACCTGATGGTAAGTGGTTGCTGCGGCCCATAGACATCTACATCTATCCTTCATTAAAATCAAAATGCAGATGCGTTGTCACCCGTGAGGACTGAGATGGAATGCCTCGTTTCCAGTAAAAAGGGTCTCCGGTTCTCTACACTCACCATACGAAATACAGCAGCATTAAGCTACTATTTCACGCTGGTATTCTGTGAGAGCGTGGTCCTTCCCCGGTCGAGCCGACCCATTCGTGCTACAACTATACTACTAATATAACTGCAGCATGGCTCTACCACGTAAAGACCATTACAGCGTATTAAAGTCCACTGCTGAACATAGGCCTCCCCCACATTTTTTGATTGATTCTTGGGGCATAGTTGCCACGCTTGACAGTATTTTTACCGACTTCAAAAAGGAGGAGGTATTCAATGCGACTGTATGTTTTTTATGTGTGTTACCTCAGAATTTTTCTCTGGGTAAACCGATTTTGATGATTCTTCTATTATCTGAAAGCTTGTGTGGTCCCGTATGAATTTAATCAAAATCTGACCAGTAGTTTTTGAGTTATCTTTAATAATGGGTATTTAATTGACTTCGCATACATTGATGATGTTCCAATTTTAGTTATATTGAAGTCGGTTGTGCAAAAATTTTAAGTTTACCACTTTTTTACTCGATATTAGGAAGATGCTGCTGCCTTTTTTTTGACTCCTTACGACATGGACGATATGGAGTAGTAAATATTATATATTACCACACCATAATTAATGCCTGGTACATGGCGAGATACCACTAGCGCCATCTTGTATCGAGTAGAGATCTTTCTAGAGATTTCCATGCCAGAACTTTCTACACCTAGTCCGACTGACTATGGGGTATGTACTCGAATATTCTAGATGTTTCAGTCGAAGAGGCCCTATATAAGACCGTGAACGAGTCAGTATTGAATTAGCGATACAAGCAAATGCGTCGAAGCGTTACAACTGCGAACTAAAGTGATCAGTAGAACAATTGTGTTTTATTATTAGTGTGTTTTAAGTTGTAATTGGTGTTTGGTAATTAGTGTTAACTTTGGTAAATCAATCGGCAGTTTTTACAGTCACGAACTCCAAGCTCGTAACAATATTCTCACACCGCGACTACATGGCATTTTTTTGTATTTTCTTTACCGTATTTGTAAAATATATTAAACTACAATTTTCTCATATCCCGCCCTTTTACGATTAGCCTAAACGGTAACTCACCATTGATTGTTGTACGTGCCGCTGTTATGTTCGCGGAAAATTTTCACCCACTCCTTGCCGTCGTTGGCGAGACGGTTCGCGATCATAGCCCGGATGTACTCCATTACCTTTTAAAACACCACACCGTTTTTATTTGTTTACTTTAACCAACTTTTTGACGGCTCCGTGGTGCAGTGGCTTATGTGTGCGTGACGAAAAATGAGTTGCAGCGCTAAGGGTCGCGTGTTCGAATCCCGCACAGAACAAGTATTTATGTGGCCTACAAATAATTGTTCCGGGTCTGGATGTTTATTTGTTTCTCCTTGTGAAATTTAAGTATGTCAACTGCCTTCACGTGATACACGAGAAAATCCTAGGGTAAAGGAGATAACGTATTTTAAAAACAAACAAAATAAACAAAGTAACTGTGTACTTCACCTGACACCGAATGATGCTGGATATCTAAGTATTATGTCGAATTGACCGAATTTCGGTCACGAACGGCTCAACGGAGACTAGTCATCGGCGCAGGACAGGATTATAGTGCACGAGTGTATGCGCGAACACAGGTGCACTCTCTATTCCCTCACTCTTATAGTCCGGAACGACAATGCGACAAGACCGAAGAGAGATCAGGCGTTAGACTAACGGCTTTACGTGCTCTCTGAGGCACGGGATTGAAATACCGTCAACTTCTTGATTTCGGGTTGCTAATGAATAATGTTTGACAGATAAACCCAATAACTGAGTTTTTACGCGACACAGACCCGAGATTCGAACTGAGAACTACATGGTCAGCGGTCGAGATTACGACCACCAGACTAGCGAGGCAGTCAAATATAATATTATTCAAAATATGCCGAACTAAAAGCAAAAAACTTGTGATGAAAATGATCATTCAGAGATCAGAGACAGCTTGCCTAGTTAATGAGTATGAACAAATCTATTTTATTTTTTATTTTATTGAAAGGGTGACAAACGAGGTGAAGGATGGTAAGTGGATGTATATAGATAAGAATATATATGCTGGACATTTAACCTCGATGAAGAATCAAAATGCAGATGCGTTATCACCCCTGAGGACTAAGATGGAATGGTTCGATTTCAAAAAAACGGGTCATTGGCAATTGCAACATTTTCATCATTCTTACCTGTCATTGTTATCCCAATGCGTGTTGGTAGACATACCTCGTTGGTAGAAATACCTCGGCCAAGTCGTTCAGAAGTTAAACGATCATTTGTATCAGAGAAGTTACGGAGCTTCGACTCCGGTTCCGTAATTGGCCCGTTAGTTGAGTGTGCGGCGTCGTGCGCGCGGGGATTCCCCCCGACTCACTGTCTGCACGTAGTGGGAGTCGTCAATTATTTTCTCACTTGTTGTTAATTTGTTACGCATACGACACGTTCATAGGTTATAGACATTTGTTTTGATTTTAGCGGCTTATTATCAAAAAAAGTGATCTGTTTTTGTGTTGGACAATGAAACTTAAATCAAATATGGAATTACTTCATTGAAGTTAATTCAGATTCGGCAAAGTGTAAACTGTGTATGGAGACGTATTCAAGAAAGGGAGGTACGATTACGTCGTTAAAAGGCCATTTTAGAAGTTTGTCCATGCCACAAAATATGAAGAATTAATAGTTAGAAACTGAAAAAAAAAAAACTGTACAGCCTTCAACTTCGACGCCCCTTCAGGATGCTAAAAAACAAATTACTTTAAAAGAAACTTCGCTGAAGAATACAAAATGGTGTACTTCTAATGCTAAATCTATGGAAATTGAAAAATTGATTTCTGAAGTGATTGCTTTGCAAGATCTACCCTTCAATTTTGTGGAAGGTATAGGATTTCGGCGACTTATGCAGTTCAATGTGCCGAATTATCACTTAAGGAGAAGACATTTTTTTACTGACAATATTTGTGGTCATTTATATGAAGCATTAGCAAAAAAATTAAGCTTAATTTTTTTATTTTTTTTTAATTAATTTGCTCACACAATTTGAACAGATCTCATTTACAACAGACATTTGGACCGAACCAAGTTCGAACGTGTTTATGAGTCTGACAGCGCATGGTATAGAGATTTTAAAAGGCAAAAGTTTTTTTTTTAATTTGTCAACAAATAAAAATTCTTCTCATGCACCACTTGACCCGCTCCGATCCGATGTCCGATAAGCAAATTTAAAAACTCCGACTCCGCCTTCGGTTCCGATAAAACTACCTCCGTTACATCCCTGGTATTTGTATTAATAAAGTATATAGAAGATAGATTCACTTATATTATATCCACCCAGTTCTCATCAGTTATATTAATAGCATAAGAGTGCTCATTAGGTAAAGCCAAATATTGGGCTCCCATTAGTAGTGTGCGCTGGACAACTTTTGATAATTTTCAAGCAGACTTTCTAACAGTATTTTGGGGCGAAGAGGAACAAAATAAAGTAAAGAGATTCCTTGTACAAAATAAGTGGAATAGATATACGCACCCCACCATGGTCAGTTACTTTCATTATGTTATTGTAAAGGCACAAACATTATCATAGGAGATAATACCTAAATGAATGAAGGCCACACCTTTGTAATTACTTGTATTTACGTTACCACAATAACATGTAACTAAAACTATTATTGAATTAATCATCATCATCATCATTACAGTCCATCACAAGCTCAGTGCTGAACATTGGCCTCGCCCAAGGAATGCCACAAAGCACGGCACTCCCGCATCCATCGACTTCCTGCATCTCTTACCAGGTCGTCACTAGTATCTAGGGGGGGGGGAGCGCACAATTAACTTACCGATACGAGGCTGCCACTCGAGAACCTTTCTTCCCCATCGGTTGTCGGTTCTTTAAGCTATATGGCCGGCCCATTGCCACTTGAGCTTACTAATCCACAGGGATATGTCGGTTTCTGTGGTTGTACTGCAGATATCCTTATTTCTAATCATCTATCACGCAAGAAATTCCAAGCATAGCACTGATTGTATAATCTTGTTTCGCGAGTTTTGAGGTATACCTAACGAGAAGATGTGTCGTTATCTTCCGAACGCTGCCCAGCCGAGTTGAATTGAATCCGTCGATTAAGCTCTCGGTCGAAGTAGGACTTACCTAGTTGGACTATTATTATCTAATAACTTAGTAATTTTATTGCTTACCGATCCATTAGGTTTGATTAGCTGATAGAGTGTTCTGTTGCTGTTGCTGATGGTTGTCTCCGCGGCCACCAGCCCTGATGATATGACGTAGAAGTCATCTGTGGACTGCCGTTATGAATCATGTTATATGTCCTCGCCAGCTTTCAGCCACAACTACTAGAACTAGGTGTTAGATATGCTTTTCTGCCTATATGTTTCCTGGATAGGAACTTTCTTTAAATCTAATTTTGCCCCCAAGCAGCAGCGAGTGTACTGTTGTGTTCCAGTGTGAAGAATATACTGGATGATCTTTTTTACCGCCTGGAAAAAAATAGGGTGTAACATGTGAATGGAGTACAAGCCTATGGCACTCATATTTTACAAAAAATAAAAACAAAAACTTTGTTATAAATAAATTAATTAAAATCTATCGAAATTCAAATCATATCTACCCTACTTTACGAATGACAATGAAACAATAAATGTAGTAGGCATCTTTGAACTTGTGACTTGTCACAAAGAGCAAAATAATTGGTGAATTTTTTTTAAACGTTTAACTCTACATTTTGGTTATTATTTTTTGTAACATATCAGTGTCATAGGCTTCTACTCCGTTCGCATGTTACACCCTATTTTTTTCCAGACGGTAAAAAAGGTGACCAAGTAGAGAAATCACAGGTAATAATAATATAGTTTGTGAGGTATTCCATCCTTGTCCTTAATTGTGACAAACCTGTAGCCCTTGTTTAAGGTGTTGCAGGAGTCAATTGACTGCAGTAGCCACTTACCGTCTATCCTATCGTCGTGGACTGTACATTATTCTGTCACTTCAATATTAAAAGTAAAATCTGAAACCTTAGTGTAATAATCCGACGGCATCTGTCTTTCCATTAGAGATGGGAAGAACATTCTTTTCATATTCGGTATTCGGAATATTCGGCAGTTTTACTGAATATTTGGCTAAATAACGAACATTCATTAAAGTGGTACTCCAAGTGTCCACTGTATTGAAATGTACGAATTGAGTAATGCCATGTCTTTCATAATTTTTACTGTTGAAAGTACATTTTCTTTATGGGTTAAATCTACTTGTATAGCGTTACGTTTTTGAGGCACCGTAGATTTATTTCCAATTATAGCAAATAAAAAGCTTAATAAAATGTTTTTGGAATCAAACAAAGAAACATTACATTACATTAGTACATTTCACTTTACTTTGATCGTCACTTTCTCTAAAATAAGTCGAAATATTAGATCTCCTGCCACTCATTTTTATCACATAATTATCAATTTTCACTAAGAATAACACAACGAAATACTTTTTTTCTCACAAAAATAGTCAAAACATAAGCATGTGCCGACAATTTGCTCAGTACTAGATGATGCAATAACATGTCAGGTGTGGCGGGAAGCGAGAGGCAGGGTCCGGCGCTAATCCCGCGCGCTTTACGGTTATAAGTTTCGACATAAATTGGTTAGATACCGAGGGGATTCTACCAAATAATGTTCGGCCGAATATTCGTATTCGGTGAAACCCATATTCGATCCATCTCTACTTTCCATCCATTTGTTAAGCTAAGTCAATGCGTTTTACTATCTTCAGCTGAATCACCATTTAACACCAGGTGATACAGAAGTCAAGCGCTGGCTTATAATATTTAAAAAAAAACTTAAACACGGCTAAAACTGGAAATAATACTACAGATGATCGCACTACCTCAGATACAGAGGTACCCTCTTTTGGTAGACTTTTTCGACAAATAATCTGTACACGTATCGTGAGCATGGAATATGCAAATGCATCAGTGACTGGACCTAATAGCTTTGGGCTTTTTTGTGCAACGCTATTCTCAATTTGTAAATACACATTAACATTTTGTTCTATTATTATTTAACTCACACAAAGAAATAAGTTGATATAAATATAGTCAGATAATTTGTAAATAAACTTTCTTCAGATTCGAAATTCGATGCTATTTCATTGAACACTGCTGTTGGTCGATATATGTCAACAGTATTCATTGCAATTTTAAGCTGGTATTCTATGAGCCGTGGTAGCTCAGATGGTTAACGCTCGCTGTAAATATAACAGAACGCGAGTAACCCGGGTTCGATTCCCGCCGGCACCAATGAAATTGTTAATTGCAATTTTAAGTGCTGATTTACCACGTGCTCGGCGGTGAAGGAAAACATCGTGGGGAAACCTGCATGTCTGAGGAATAAGAAAAAAAATTATTTCGAAGACATGTGAAGTTCGCCAACACGCATTAGGGCAGCGCGGCGGACACTTCCTTGCCCTAAAACCCTCTCAGAAAATGAGGGGAGGCCTGTGCCCAGCAGTGGGACTTATATAGGCTGTAACTTTACTTTTTACTTTTTATTCTATGAGAGGGTGGTGCTATCTCAGTCGAGTCGAACCATTCGTGCTACAACCATAATACTATAATAGCATGGTTCTACGACGTAAATGTCCAGCCGCGGACACATATTGGCCGATGAATAAGTAGAAAAGGAAGGCATAAACCTGGACAAACGCCGGGTAGGAGGTGAATGACATCTTGTAGCCCGGGATCTTCTTCGAATGTTTCGGGCTCAACTTGTAATGCAGCGCGTACATCTTTTGAAGTCGCAGCATAGATTGGTAACTGATCACAGATAGTTCTTATCACTTCACTCTTATTAAACTTGTCGGAAATGAGGGAAGACCCACCCCAGGTGTACCCAGTATTGGGACGTATGTAAGCTGGAAATTTGTAATAAGGGTGACAAACTAGCACAAGGTCCATCTGATGGTAGGTGAATGCTGCGGCCCTTGGACATATACATTGGATCCTCGATTAAAAATCAGAACGCAGATACGTTGTCACCCCTGAGGACGAAGATAGAATGTCTCGTTACCAGTAAAAAAAAGATCTCTGAATCTATACACTCACCATACAAAACACAGCAGTATTAACCTGTTATTCTGAGAGAGCGTGGTCCTTTCCCGGTCGAGCCGACCCCTTCGTGTTAGAACCATAATGTAGCATGGCTCTATCACGTATATTACTCCAAGTTTTATTTGCGTTTACTAAATTGAGGTGACAAACAAGCGTACAGTCCACATGATGGTAAGTAGATCTTGTGGCCCATAGATACTTTATCCATAGTTAAGAATGAAATTGCTGATGAGTTGTCACCCTTTAGTACTATACATCAAAATCGGTAAAAAGGGTCTCACATTCACCATATGAAACAGCAGGATTAATCTGCTAATTTACACCATACTTAATTAACCAAACCAACCATAATTTAGCTTCCGAGTGGCGAGTGAGTTACTAATTATTATGTGAAACTATCTGGGTCGCCGCGCGCCCAACTTTTTACGAAAAGGGGTCGTTTCCCCAACAGCGGGGGGTGATTTTTTTTTTTTTTTTTTTTCCAACACTTTTTTCTTTGTTATCAACATAGCCCATCACAAATCAATGACTGAACGCCTCCTACAGTCTTTTATAGCATGGTGCGCGTGACAGCTTACAGTTTGGCGTGTCTAGAGAAGGAACAATGTTAAATAGATTTTAAAGAGGCGATTGTCGATACACAAAGCAAAGAAAAAATTATCGATTAGATATGTATATAAAAATTAATACCGAAACACATATTTCTTTATAAACTAAAATACATGTAAAATTAAGTTAAAGTTTAATAGAAATTATGACATAATATTCACAGCTATTACTGTTCCCGCGAACTCGCTCGCGTGTTTTTTTTAAAGAATATTAACAATGCTTTAAACATTCCTTTACCACTTAACCACTCATGGTAAGCTTAAATTGCTTGTGTTACGAGTGGTTCACGCCAGTAGTCGAATAGCGGATTCGAACCCACGACCTTTTTTGCGTTCGCGGTCCGCGCCCTGCTATTAGGCTACTGTCACTTTTAAACTTTTTTTTGTTTATTACGATTGGATTTTATAGGTTTCAATTTTATTTTCGCGAGATCCTAATTCATTTTCTAAAATAAAAGAAGCCTGTGTTACTCTTTATAACAGCTATGTGCTAGTGTCAACTATAAGCTGGAACAAACAGACACACAGACAATTTTTAAAAATTGTGTTTGTCTTTTGTTATAAGTACAGTATAAACTTTCATATGCATTTAGTAAAAGGCTGGACCTTTAAACGAGCAATTCTTGTATATATATATATATACATTATATATATATATATATATATTTACAATATGTAACGTAATTAACGCACACCCTCAGACACCCCAATTAGTATATTATGTTTTAATCATAATATATACACTGAATTTTTAGTTAAATAAAGTAAATTTTTATTGAATGACAGAATTAGTAATAATACAAATAAAACTGCACTCTTAAAAGTCTTATTGCCTTAAGTTACGGTCCATTTCAGTTTGTTTTGACTGTACAGATTTAGTATGACTGTAATTTACGTAGTTTTAATTATTTTTGGGATAAAAAATTACCTATATTAAAAATGATAGGAATCGATTCAGTAAACGATTCTGAACAAACTACTTTCTCAAAGTGCGTTATGTTACGTGTTGTATACAGAATGGGTCCCACATATATGCAATAAATGAAACCACAAGTAATACTAGTCCGTAGAAGTGTAGAAAAATTAAATATTAAATTAAAACCCGTAAAATAAAAAAGTGAAATTTTCAAATAAAATAAATATTAAAATAAATTCAGTAAAAGTGAAAACTCTGTTTAGACAACGTACCTTGACCCCTTGGAAGAGTGACAACGTTGCACGCGGGTGGCACGCCGACAAAAGACACCGCTGTCGATATGTCGCAATACCAATAGTTTGCACTGCGTGGCAACGTCGCTTTTTAATGTTCAAGGATTCAAGTTCATTGAATCAATGACTTAGTGACCCAATTCTATAGAGTGTTCAAATTTGCTTAAAATTAAAACTCTACTTTTTGACCTAATTACTGGACCGATTACGTTCATTTTTTGTATATCGTCAGCAAAGGCGATAACAAGTATATGGTTTCATTTATTGCATATATGTGGGACCCATTCCGTATATAATCGGAATCTCGGAAACGGCTCCAACGATTTTCATAACATTTAGTGTCCAAGGGGTTTCTGGGGCAATAATACGATCTACCTAGGATTCATTTTTAGAAAATGTCGTTTTATCCGTGTTTTCAGGCAATGAAAAACTGATACAATATCGTTATAATACTAGTGATTATAAATAGCTCAATTGGGATATCGGGTTGTCACAAAATCGTAGTACCCTGGTTCGAGTCCTGTCTACAGACTTTTTTCATTTTTTTTTCAAGTTCCCTTCTTTTTTGAGAAAATCTATTATTTCGAGCTTTTTTTTAGTATTTATTTAAAAACACGAAAATTTAAATTAAACTAATAATTGCACTCATGACTTTTTATTCAAATACCTAACCAGTTAAGTTTTTCTATTATGTCGGTAAGATCAATAAATATTATTCATATTTCATCAGTATGGAATTTGTATCCAAATATAATTTCCAAAACAAACGATTTCAAAAAAAAAAAAATACCGAGCAAAGCTCGGTCAACCAACCATTTCATGATAATTGCAACATTTGATTGACAATTGATATTTAAACAAATAAAATGGCTGCCAGCATCTGTAATTTTCAGTACGGCGTTGACTACATCGGTAGCTTTTCAAGGTACGCGTACTAGCGCCTTTCTCTATATGTGTATTAGTGTTGCCCGGTCCAATAGGGCTAGATATCGGAACGGAAGGTAAAATTTATCGAGAATGTGGCTTTCAAATCTAATGTAACAAAAATAAAAAAAGTTTTTGTAGCCAAGTATTTTTGACACATTTATAATTATTATTTTTGCCTAAGCTGACCAACGAATAATTTATCGTCCATGTATTGGAAACATTGCATATTCGTCTATGTGCATTTTTTTCTGTAAATCAGAATTTGTTAAACGATTAGTTACAATTCCAATAAATATTTACGTGATATTCGATTTATTTCAAGACCGATTCTTGATAGTCTGTGGTTGTCGTTATGGCATGGCATAGTTTATCGTGCCATATCACTGTCGTAAGTGGGCGGTACCCATCCATAAAGTACAACAATATCCGTGATAGTTATCTAAAAAAATACGAAACTTAATAGGCATAAGTTGTCATTCGCACCATGCTACAACGCAAACTGCCTCTTTACCAGTAAAAGGGATTTCCGGTTTTGGTCTCTCACCATACGTAGTATATACTGCATGACTTTTTTTACCGTCTGGGAAAAAATAGGGTGTAACATGTGAACGGAGTAGAAGCCTATGACACTGATATTTTACAAAAAATTAAAAAAAAATTGAATTAATACATAAATTAATTAAAATCTATCGAAATGCAAATCATATCCACTCTACTTTACGCACGGTAATAAAACAATACATTTAGTAGGCATCTTTGATCTTGTCACTTCGCAGAGTAAGGCTCAAAGGAAAAGGACAAAATAATTGTTAAAAAAATTTTTATTTGAAATTTTTGTTTTTATTTTTTCAAAATATATTGCCATAGGCTTCTATGCGTTCACATGTTACACCCTATTTTTTTTTTCAGGCGGTAAAAAAGGTCATCCAGTTGCGAATCATCCGTGCTTGAGTCATATTACCATACATCATGACTATATTACATAAATCAGTTGATTTCCTTGACTGCTGAGCAAGTTATAAATTTTTAAAACAACATTGTTTACGTGGTAGAACCACACTGCAGCTATTATGGTTGTAGCATATATGGGTCGGCTGAACCGGGGAAGGAATACGCTCTTACAGAATACCAGCGTAAAATAGTAGCTTAATGCTGCTGTGTTTCGTATGGTAAGTGTAGAGAACCGGAGAACCCGTTTTACTGGAATTGAGGCATTCCATCTTAGTCCTCAAGGGTGACAACGTATCTTAAGCGAGGTTAAATGTAGATGTCTATGAGCCACAGCGTCTACTTACCATCAAGTAGACTGTGTGCTCGTTTGTCACCCTTATCTTATAAAAAAAAAAACATTATTACTTATAAGGTACGAAAATTTAATAAGCGCTTGGCCTATGGCCTCTAGTTCGTTCAGTTGAGTACCAGTTTGTTTGGTTTTTCATTTTTGAAAGGCATCCCATAAGAGGGGGGGGGGGGTGGGTTGGTGGAGGGGGGGGGGTGTGTCAGGATGGGGCAAAAGTTGTTTTGCTTTGGGGCCGTTTTTTTTACCTCAATATAAACATATAATAAAATTGTTTATTTATGTCGCCAAATAGCAGCGCCATCACTGCACTGACAGTCTGAAGGGTATATATAGAAAGCCAGTATAATAACAGGCTGTTTGCAAGCATTTCATCTTAGTCCTAAAAGATGATAACTAAACGATGATAACTAAACGCAACCGTGTCGATCGAGAGGTGGTTTATTAAAAATGTTACATGTTAAGTTATGTCATCATCATCATCATTACAGCCCTTCACACGTCCACTGCTGAACATAGACCTCCTCCAAGTAATGCCACAAAGCATGGTCCTGAGCCACCTGCATCCATCGACTTCCTGCATGTCTTACCAGGTCATCACTCCATCTAGTGGGGGGTCGTCCTTTACTACGCCTACCGGTACGAGGCTGCCACTCGAGAACCTTTACTCCCCATCGGTTATCGGTTTTTCGAGCTATATGGCCGACCCATTGCCACTTACTAGCTAGTATAATAGCTTACTAATCCGTTGGGCTTAAAATTGCAATTAACAATGTCGGTCACTCTGGTTCTATAGCGGATATATGCTCATTTCTGAGTTTATCACGCATAGAAACTCCGAGCATAGACCTCTCCATAGCTCGCTGAGCGACCTTGAGCGTCCTCATACGGCCAGCAGTGAAGGACCACGTATCAAATCCGTAAGTCATCTTGGTTACACAGTCTCAGTTTTAAGTTATATAATATGTAACATTAAAAAAGCTCATAGTTTTGGAAACATACCTATATAGAACCTTAATATATTATTCAAAGATAAAAATCCAGATTTATTTTAAGTTTAAGATAAGGATTTATGTTAACCTGTTCCAAGTAGAATGTGCGGTGTACAGATTGCTGAAGTCCGGAAGCAACTTCACCAGACCGGAACAGTGCTCTCCAAAAATCAGGTCGTCAGGTAAAATTTTCGGCATCGATAAAGCAAACGCCAGGTCATCCAAATCGCCCAGCATGTTGATCCAACTGAATAATAATTATGTTGTTAAACTTCAAAAAGAGCCGTGGTAGCTCAGATGATTAGCGCTCGCTGTAAATTTCACAGTACGCGAGCAAACCGGGTTCGATCCCAATGAAATTGTTAATTGCAATTTTAAGTGCTAATTTACCACGTGCTCGGCGGTGAAAGAAAACATCATGAGGAAACCTGCATGTCTGAGAAATAAGAAAAAATATTTCGAAGAGATATGAAGTTCGGCAACACGCATGGGGTCTGCGCGGCGCGGCGGACACTAGCCGTGCATATCGCCATTACAGCCACACACGAACCGTAAATTTCATCGACTTGGCACGTAAAAGATTTGTTACTGTTTGTTTACCTCAGCACTCTACGCGTAAGATGCAACCTTTAGACAAAACAATCATGGGCCTTTTAAAATCCTACTACAGCGAAGAAATACGTCAGTGGCTTTTAACTTACCAAATACCTCTTAGCCCTTTCGATGTTGTGGAAATATTTGGCAATTCGATAATTCAAAACGCAGAGTTGGCTATAAATGGGTTTAAGACAACAGGTATTTATCCCCTCAACAGACAAGGGCACAGGCCTCCTCTCGTTTCTGAGAGGGTATTAGGGCAAGAAAGTGTCTGCTGCGCTGCTCCAATGCGTGTTGGCGAACTTCACATGTCTTCGAATTTTTTTTTCTCACCATAGAGGTTTCCTCACGATGTTTTCCTTCACCGCCAAGCACGTGGTAAATCAGCACTTAAAATTGCAATTAACAATTTCATTGGTGCCGGCGGGGCTCGAACCCGGTTTGCTCGTGTACTGTGAAATTTACAGTGAGAGCTGACCATATGAGCTACCACGGCTCTCTAAAATAAAAGTAGCCTAAATTACTCCTTATAACATCAGCTATATGCGAGTGAAAGTCCCGTCAAAATAGTTCAATCCATTTCGGAGATTAGTCGGAACTAACATACAGACAGAAAGACAAAAATTTCAAAAAATGTTTTTTATAATTATCGTATATAGGTAATTTCAAACGTATTTAGTAAAAAGATGTTATTTTGAATTAGAAACAGATACTTCAACTTTACTTATTTGTATAGAGAATAGATGCAGATAAAGTATAAATATGAGAAAGTAATAGCACCCAGCAGTATCACAATATCATAATACTTACACAATGTCCCGCACGGTGAGCCACTGATAGGGTTCTGTTGTGGCTTCATTGTAGCCAACCGCCAACCCTTCAAGCTGGATGTAGTACAACTTTATCTGCGAAACATATCATGTACCCTCTCTGAGATAGGTTTGCTACCTTTTTATTGAACAAATTAGTATTTTTCGCAAAAAAAAAATGCAAATGTATGAACTTTTGAGAAATTCGGAAGCAAAAAAATACACATTTACATTTAATCTTTATGTAATTTTTCATATATATTTGTTATTACTCTTTGCTTTGGCCATCAATTATCTAACCACCTTACCATCTACCTTACCTTTAAAATAATTATAGGAGTCTGAGCAATTTAGATTCATATTAAAATAAATTAGCAATTATTTTTTAACTAAATGAATACATGTTCTTCTTCTTTCTTCTTTTAATTCTATATTTATGACGAAAAAATCATTCCGTAAAACTTACTGATTCCAGACTTCCAAATATTATTATTAAGCCTTTATTGCCAACACAATATACATAATTTATCATTTCATAGTTAAAATTATGCATGCAAATTAAAATATATAACTTTAAAGTAAAATTGACCTTAACATTAAATTCATTATTAACATTATTGAATTACTATTATACATTATTAATATCATATGTATTTAATTTTAGTTGATATTATATTAGTATGATGTTGTTATCGGGCGTCGCGTCGGCGTGTCTTTGCGACACGAAGGCCTCCTCCAGCTTGTTCCATTCTGCTCTTGTTTCAGTTGTTCTGTGCCATGTTGGACCCGCATGCTTTTTTAAGTCATCAGACCAACGTTTTCTTTGTCTTCCTCGTTTTCTTTTTGTTTGGTATCTAGGGGTCCATTCTGTTATATCTTTCGTCCATTTATTTCTATTCTCTCTCATCATGTGGCCTACCCATCTCCATTTGAGTTTTCTAATTTTAACTATTATATCTTCAATTTTGGTAATTTGTCTTAGATCTACAGCTCTCTTTCTGTCTCTTTTTGTGTAACCCAGTATACTCCTCTCCATGGCTCTTTGGCATGTAATCAGTTTTTGGTTTTGTTTTTGTGTGTTTGCCCAGGTCTGGCACCCATAGGTAAGGATTGGTAATATGCATGTATTGTATACTTTCCTTTTCATTGCAATATTATATTGATTGCCTTTTAGCACTTCTTTGAGGGACCAAAATCTCTTCCAGGCATTGGCTATCCGTCTTTCAATCTCTGAATCCATTTGGTTGTTGAAGGCGATAAGTTGGCCTAAATATACATAGGAATTTACATAATCTATTTCCTCCTCATCTACTGAGATACTTATTTGGGATCTGTTTGTTATTATCTTTGTCTTTATTTTGTTTATTGTTAGTCCCACCTTTTTACTTTCACATGATAAATCTTGGAGCATGTTTTTAAGGCTTTCCGAGTTATCTGTTATAAGTATTATGTCATCTGCAAATCTTAAATGATTTAAATGTGTTCCATTTATGTTAATCCCTATGTTGTCCCATTCCATTTTCCTGATGACTTCCTCTAGTACGGATGAAAAAAGTTTTGGTGAGAGTGGGTCTCCCTGCCTCACTCCCCTGTGTATTGGAAATATTTCCCCTTCTGCTTCTAGTTTGATTCGTGCTTTGCTGTTGGAATACACATTTTTTATTATCCTTATATATTTATTTTCTATTCCTTGATTTTTCAGGGCTTCCCAAATGTACTGATGTTCCAGGCTGTCAAACGCTTTGTTATAGTCCACAAATGCCATGTATAATGGATAATCGTATTCTTGACATTTTTCAATGAGCTGTTTTACCACATGTATGTGGTCAATTGTTGCAAAGCCCGATCGGAATCCAGCCTGTTCTCTTGATTGTTGTTCTTCAAGTTTTTTTGCTAATGCGCTTCAGTATTATTTTTGAGAACACCTTGTATATGTTGGACATGAGACTTATTGGGCGATAGTTTCCTATGTCTGATCTATCTCCTTTCTTAAAGATGAGTATTATAGTGCTTATTGTCCACTGTGAAGGTATGGATTCTGTGTTTAGGATAAGATTAAACAAGTTAGTTAGTTTTTTTGTTGTTTCTGGCAATGTAGCTTTCATCATCTCATTGGTTATATGATCAGGTCCAGGAGCTTTATCGTTTTTCTGTGTTTCTATCGCATGCTGAACTTCCCTTTCAAGAATCGGAGGGATTTCTTCTGTTTTGTCTTCAAGGTTTATGTTTAATTTTAAGGTATTTTCGGTAGAGTATAATTTCCGATAATAGTCTGTCGCTATCTTTAAAATTGGCTGTCTTCTTGTTTCGTCCTTATTATTTTTGCTTTTCATTTTCCGGACCCATAGCGTTGTTTCTTTTAATTCTTTAAGTGCTTTATTGATACCTCCTGTTTTTGTAATGTGTTTTTGGATACATTTCATTCTTTTATTCGACTTATCTTGTTTTATGTTGCGACTTATCTCCTTACTTAGTTCAGTAATTTCATGTAATGTTGCTTTATTTCTTCTATTTTTAAGCAGTTCTTTCCGTTTTTGAATGAGATCTATTGTTTTCGAGCTCAGTGTATTTTTTGTTTTTTACTAAATTGTTCTTCTTTCTATAAATATCGTTTGTTTCTATGTTGTAAATTTCTTGTGTTTTGTCTATTTCTCCGGTTGTTACTTTGCTTTGAGACGTTGTATCAGTCTTGCAGGTATTTTCACTCTGGTGAAAGTGTTTTCGTTGTTTCTTTTTGTTGTTTGTGAAATAGTACTGCTCTGACCATACGATGGTTGCTATTGAAATTGAAATTATTTATTACACTAACATCTCGGAAAAACTTGGGTTGATTACTAGTTATAAAGTCAATTTCATTTCGGTAATTTCCATCTGGCGATATCCAAGTCCACTTCATGGTTTTTCTCTTCTTGAAAACGCTATTTAGTATGGTTAAGTTATTCTCCAGGGCCAAATTTACAATTCTCTTGGCGTTCTTGCTTCTTTTTCCTATGCCATAATTTCCTATTACTGTCCCTTCACCATGTTTTTGTTTACCTATTTTCCCATTAAAGTCTCCCATGACGATAACGTTTTTATGGGCAGTTTCTAGAGTAGTTGTAAGTTGGTTGTAGAAATCATCTTTTATTTTTTCGTCTGCTGCTTCTGTTGGCGCGTATATCTGTACAATAGTCCACTTGTTTTTATAGCCTTGTAGCTGTATATTTAGTAAAGCTATTCTTTCGGATATGCCTTTGAACTCTATGATTTGTTTCTTTAGATGTTTTTTCACCATAAATCCCACTCCATAGTGACCCTTGGTTTCACCGATATAGTACAGAATGTAGTCGTCATACTCTTCAATGCAGTTTCCTATTCGTCTTACTTCACTCATACCAAGAATATCCCATTTAATATTACCCAAAGTTATCTCTAATTCGAGAAGTTTTTCTGCAGTCCTCAATGAAAGTGTGTTTAGGGTGGCTATGTGTATATTGTTATTGTTAGGTTTCTCTTTTTCTTTATCTTTAGGTGTTTCATTTGCTGAAGGGTAGTGGTCTTCTTTCCCCACGATGACCAACCGGCTTGGGGTGCATTTTTTCAATTGTTGTATGTGTACTTTTGGTATTAATTGTTCTAAGTTGATTTCGAGTACCGGTGGTCATTACAGGTTTTTTGGAATCTCTGACATTGAAGCAGATCTTCCTCTTTCAACGTAATTAAGTATTTTGGGTTTTAAGATTTCTTTTCCCTTGGCTGATGTAGAAGCTGGATTGTCTTTTAAGTCGATTTTTTTCTGGTATGCCGAGTTAGGTGAGTCATGGCCTTCTCTTTTTCTTTTTTCTCTATTTATTTCTGATGATTTCTTTACTATTATTTTGTCATGTTTTAGAAAAGCTATGTTTCCTTTCCTTCTTTCCTCTTTCACTTGGGCTTGTAATTGCTTGCGCTTTTCTAACACTTCTTTAGAATAATCTTCTTTTATATAGATGCCTGGCGGCAGCTTTGACTTGTTTTTCAAAATCATGTGTTTTTTCCACAGCGTTGTGACGGAGATGACGACAGGGCGGTTTTTAACATTTTTATTCTTGCCAATTCTATATATATTGCTGATTTCCTGGCTATTTAAATGTGTGCCTGTTTCTATGATTGTGTCCTTGATGTAGTCTACTAATTCCGCTTCTGATTTTCCATTCTCCTCAATGCCAAAGAAGACTAAGTTGTATTTTCTTTTCTCTCTTTCCATGATCATAAGTTTCTGTTCCAATGTCACTATTTTGTCTTTTAATCTAATGTTTTCTTCAGTTATTATTTTTAATTTCTCGTCTAATGCCTCCATAACATTATACGTCACCGACTCTGTTATGAGTTTGGTTTGTTGGTTCAATTTCTCATCTAGTTTTAACAACAATAATTCCATACTTTTGTCCATTTTTTGGATTATTTACTGACAACACTGGAAGGATGGTGGTTTATATTCTTGTTGCTGGCAACACTTGCTAAGTCAGTGTCAAAATGACAGTTACTACTATTTGATAATTTGTTGGTTATGTTGGTAGCACTGTTATGTCGTTCACTCTTTAATTTTTTTGGTTATGTTGTTCACTAGCTTTTATTGCACTTTTTATTCCTAGAAAATTGTTTTATGTTTTGTTCACTTATTTATATCGTTTGTTATTGCCTTTTTTTTGTGAATTTCGTGTTGTGACACTTCAATTTCACACTCTTTACACTAAAAACAGTTATTATTCTAGACTTCCAAATATAGTTAATATAAAATAGTGCGACAGCTGTATTAGGGATAAAAATATAGTATTTTTCGTGCTATATTATTTTTCTATAATATATAGTACAATTGACTGGAACTATATATACTATACTATATATTATAGTACAGGTGGCAACCCTACTCTGAAAACTCTTGTGTAATTTCACTGTGGGGAAGCGAGGTAAGGGAATCCTTCGCCTCATTTACTCACGTGGGTGTTGTAAAAGGACACCATAGGCAATACTAAATCTCATGGCTAACGATAGATATTAATGGTATTACTGTCTCCGTTTCCTCCAGACTTAAAATCCCGGACCGGGGACAGGGTGGACCGCTTTGACGATGCAAGACGTCTGATGTGATAGTCATCCTCCTGCCTAGCGTGGTGACTAAAGCAAATTTTCCCAACAGCGTTATATGCTGTATTATATATGTTCATTTTAACTTTTTTTATAGGATAGGTGACAAACGAGCACACAGTCCACCTTATGGTAAGTGGTTGCTATGGGCCATAGAAATCTACATATATCCTTGATTACGAATCAAAATGTAGATGAGTTGTCACCCCCCTGACGACTAAGATGGAAGCCTCGTTTCCAGTAAAAAAGGATCTCCAGATCTGTACACTCACCATACGAAACACAGCAATATCAAGCTGCTATTTTAGGCTGGTATTCTGTGAGAGCGAGGTCCTTCCCCGGTCTAGCCGACCCATTCGTGCTACAATCATAATATAGCTGCAGCCTTGCTATACCACATATGAACCCCAACAACGTTATATGCTATATTATACTGGTGATCTTTTTCACCGTCTGGAAAAAATAGGGTGTAACATGTAAACGGAGTAGAAGCCTATGGTACTGATATTTTACAAAAAAAAAAAATAGAAACAAAAATTTTGAATTAAACATTTGAAATTTTTTTTTAACTATTTCTTTGCCCTTTGCCCTTGAGCCTGTGATCCTGTGAAGTGGCAAGGTCAACGATGCCTACTAAATTTATTGTTTTATTGCTGTTTGTAAAGTAGGGTAGATATGATTTGAATTTTGATAAATTTTAATTTATTATATTTGTTTGGCCATCAATTATCTAACCACCTTACTTTTTATTTTTTGTAAAATATCAGTGAAGTTAGTAGAATTCCCTCTGGCTTGACCTGTTCTGACCTAAAGTATCTATACTTTATCCATAATTAATTAGGAATGAAGGTGCAGATGAGTTGTCACCCTTAAGGACTATACATCAAAATCGATAAAAAGGGTCCTCCACTTCTCATCGGTCACTACACGAAACACATTATGTTGCTATTTTATACAGGTCTTCAAGGCGAATATGGCCCTGGCCCAATTAAACCAACCCTGTACAGGTTGTTGCAGACACACAGTAGCATGGATTCACCACATAGAAATACACTGTAAAATAAAAATCACAAAACAAAGTACATGCACAAATTTATAACTTACTTGATACCAATATGGATCTCTTTCATTGGTCTGCACCATAGAAACAATATACTCCTCATTTTTGTCTATGAATTCTTCAATGAGGCCACACACATCTGTTTTATTGTAGCAGTATCTGCGATACAAAGACTTAATAAAAAAGAAAACAAGAAACTTGAATAAACAGAAGCAGCAGTGAGTGTCAATTAGCAGCCATATATCAAATATAATATAAGTTGTTTATCTCGATTTTGTGTGTGTTGCCGGTTTTCCACAGCCACTTTGCCTTAGTGACAGAGACAGTACGAGATTAAACAACATCTTAAAATTGAGTAGCGTTTGTGTATTTGGGCAATAGAATATTAGTTATGTTAATAGCATTGCAATTTTTTTATAAATAAATAAATAAATATTAGTGCAGGTGCAGGGGTATAGGGGCCCCCTGAAATAGGGAGTAAATGAGCATACAAGGATTGTTATCTACAATTTACCACATGCTCCAAGATGAAGGAAACATCGTGAGGAATCCTGCACGACTGAGGAATAAAATATTTAAAGGACATGTCAAGTACCTCAACAAAAAAAAAAACGACTTTTGCCTGCTACTAAGAATTTTTTAACAGATAAACCTAATACAATGTTTAATAAAATGTGACTTATAACTAGAGATGGGCCGAATATGGATTTCACCGAATACGAATATTCGACCGAAAGTTCGGTAAAACTTTTACCGAACCGTATATTAGGCCGAACACTATTCGGCAGGATCACCTCCGTACCTAACCAATTTATGTCGAAACTTGTTTCAACAGTAAAATTATGAAAGACATGGCATTACTCAATTCGTACATTTCAATACAGTGGACACTTTGAGTACCACTTTAACGAATGTTCGGTGGTTTAGCCGAATATTAGACCGAATACGAAAATTCGGTAAATGATCCGAGTATGCTGAATATTGAATACGCAACGAATATTCGGCACATCTCTACTTATAACTCCTACCATGTCTTTACGTTTATAAAATAAGTATGTTTGTATGGAAGCATAAATAATTATTTGATGACGGCTCCGTGGCGCAGTGGCTTAACAATGAGTTACAGCACTAAGGGCTGCGGGTTCGAATCCCGCACGGAACAAGTTATATGGCCTACAAGTAATTGTTCCGGATCTGGATGTCTGACCTTGTGCAATTTATGTCTGTAAACTGCCCCCACGATACAGGAGAAAATCCTAGTGTGGAGGTAACGTTTTTAAAAAAGAAACAAGAAAAATTAACACGGCAGTTGATGTAAATCCTTGGGTCAGGCAAAACCCTTACAAGTTAATTTTAAGTGATAATCCTAGAATATGTAAATATTATAAAATACTACAACATTCTACTCATTAATATTAAAATGTTAAATACTAGGTTATTTAATACAAAATTACAGGAATACTCAATTAAGAATAATTTCTATAGTATTATGGACTTTATTAATCACGTTTTAATGTACAAAAACAAAAACTTTTGCATGTTATGTATAATTGTAGCTAAACATGCTGTTCGATTGTATAATATTTGTGAAATCTTTTTCATACCATGTTTTAAGCAAATAAATATATTATAATTATTATAATAACTCACAAACAGTTTACTTTGACTTTTTAATGCATACAGCAAAGGAGTGGAATAATTTGCCGATAACTATCTTTCTGTCCGAATACAATCTGGGCATCTTCAATGCAAGAATGAATAGGCATTTGTTATGCTAAGACAGTGCGATTTACCATCTAAGGCTGCATCACCACTTACCACCAGATGAGATTGTGGCCAAGCACTGGCTTATAAAACGTAAAAAAAACCCACGCAAAATACGCGCTTAGACATGAAGTTGCGAAAAACAGCCCGTCGTGAACTAAACTAATCCACTAACTCATTTTTGACCCAACCCTGATCTAGGTTTCGAGCCTGGGACCACTTGATCAGCAGTCGTTCTTACGACCATTAGACCATTGAGGCAGTCATTCTAATGGCATAGTGATATTCTTAGCTTTACAGATCCATTCCATCCATCGATTACAGCCTATAAAAATCCACTGCTAAGCATAGGCCTCTCCCACAGTTTGCCTCATGGGGTGTGAGGATTTTTATATAGTTGCCACATTTGGCAAGTGGGTTGGTAACCATAGTTTTTTCGGTTGTTATCAAGAAGATGCTGCTGCCTGTCATCTGTTTCAGTTTCCCTCTGTTACATCCTAGGACACCCATGGGATAATATGGAGTAGCAGATATTCTTATACCACCACTACAAGCTTTACAGATTCAATAATATTAATATTTAAGATATTGCAGTGCTGAAGAATAAAAAAAAGTAAAGCAAACCCCTTTAGCATGTTCAGCCAATGCATCCAAATAAGATCCCTTGTGAGGAAACCTTCAAGATATCCAGCAGCATATGCCTGTTTTTCATCAGTTGCATCTTCTGATGTGTGTAGTTCTAGAAAAGCCCATCTGAAATGTTTACAAAAATATAATTTAACATTAATTTTTAATTCTCCACTATGTGGAAACTGTATTTGGTAATCTATTATGTATCTATACTTTGTAAGCCAGCGCTTCACTACTATCCCTCCTGAAAACACAATAAGTACATGATATAATACTACCCAAAGATGAGATAGTAACTCTTATAAGTATATTGACAAAACAGTAATTTCATTTTGTTTTCAATAAATTAAAAGGGTGACAAAAAAGCACACAGACCACCTTATGGTAAACGGATGCTGTGACTGACAGACATCCACAACTATTGTCAATTAAAAATCAAAATGCAGATGAGTTTTCACCTCTGAGTACTTAGAAGCCTCATTTCCAGAGAAAAGGGTCTATAATTCTCTCAACCCAACTAAAAGAAACACAGCAGCATCAAGCTGCTATTTTTCATAGATATTTTATGAGAGCATTGTCTTTCCCTAGTCCAGACAACCCATTTGTGTTACAACTATAATACAGCTGAACATCATCAGCATGACTCTATCACATATTAAAATAATAGGTCTTAACATATGAAATTGGCATTTTGTACAGGAGGAATATAAAGTAATTTTTTTTCGTAAAATATATTTAATTAATCAAAGTATGCACCGTTGTTATCTATGCACTTTTGCCATCTCATAGGTAGTTCATTGATCCCATTACTAAAAAAACCATGGGGGCGAAAATCAATAAACTCTTTGAAGGCGGTTTGGACTGTCGCATCGGAGTTGAATTTTTTTCCTTGTAAGAAGTTGTCCAAATTCCGGAAAAAATGGTACTCTATGGAGCAAGGTCCAGGGAGTATAGTGGATGTCGCAAACATTACAATTTTGGCTCATCTAACTTAGTGGTTGTTTGTTGTGCAGTGTGTGGTCTTGCATTGTCGTGAAGAAGCAGTGGCCTAGAGCGATAGACTAATCTCTGTTGTTTTGCAGCTAGGTCTTCCTTCATGGTTTGCAGTTACTGACAATAGATATCTGCCGTAATCGTTTGGCCAGATTTTAGAGAGCTGTAGTGAACAACACCGGCGCTAGTCCACCAAACACTCACAAGAAAACTTTTTCTGAGTCAATTTTCGTTTAGGGCAGGATTTGGCTGGGTCTCCAGGGTGCAGCCATTGCGTTGAGTGCTTCCGATTAGTTTACGATGGGCTGTTTTGCAACTCCACGTCTAAGCGCATATTTTGCGTGAAAATAAAGCGCTTCCAATTATTGTACAGTATCCACTTTTCATCACAACTAATGATTCGATTTAAAATTCCTTCATTTTTGTGTTTGTTGAGCAAAGTAACACAGCAGTCGAAGCGTGTTTGGAAGTTCTATTCACTCAATTCCTGAGGTACTCATTGTTCAAGTTTTTTACATTCCCGATTTGCTTCAAGTGGATTAATGCAGTTTTATCACTTACCCCCGAAGCCTGCAGCTATCTCTGAAGTGCTTTGTGATGGATCCCCTTCCACAAAAGCTTTTAATTCTTCATTTTCCACTTTGGTCTCCGGCCGTCCATGGTGTTGGTTCTGAAGGTCGTAATTACCAGAACGAAAATGTTGAAACCAAAAACGTACCGTGCTTTCTTTCGCGACACCAGCGCCTTACACATTATTAATCCTTCGAGCTGTTTCTGCAACACTGGTGCCACGGTAGAACTCGTACTCGTAAATATACCGATATTTCATGTTTTCCATTGTATGCTAATAAGCAATGTCAAAGAAAAAAATAATGAGGAAAAACAAATTAATGACTGTTTTCAAAACTCAAATGTACAAGCTAAATAAATTTATACATTTGAAATTCTTAACCAGAGGAGATATTTAAGATCAAAGTAGTCAGTACAAAAAAACGCTAATTTCATATGTAAGGACTCAATATATAATATATACTATAACACACACACATATATATATAATTATAATAATTTTAGCAACACTCTTCAACCTAACTGTGGGAGGATTATATGAGATGTTGTATAGGGTTAGTAGTAAGAAATAAGAACCACAATTAATCATTACGAATAACAAACAATGGCACAAGCAACTCACATCACAGATAACTCGAAACCACATGACTTCTTTTATAGGATAGGGTGACAAACGAGCACATAGACACCTACATATATCTTCAATTACGAATCAAAATGCAGATGCATTGTCACCTATGAGGACTAAGATGAAATGCAGTAAAGAGGGTTTACAGTTCTCTACACTCACCTTACAAAACACAGCAACATTAAGCTACTCTTTTACGCTGGTATTCTGTGAGAGCGTGGTCTTTCCCTGGTCGAGCTGATCCATTCGTGCTACAACTATACTACTAATATAACTGCAGCATGGCTCTACCACATATAAAAAATGACTGTTGAACTAGACACATAAATAGACACAATTCCCAGATATCAATGGATGCATGCAAATAGGTAACTTGAAGCTTAGTTCCTTTAGAAGACTGCCATCATTACACACATGGCGTTTGGCAGAAAAAGGAGAGGCATAAGGATGTGGGGATTGCTATTCTATGTTTTTAATTGTTTGTTTGAGAGATTTATAGTTGTTTTGTGCAATATTATTTTAAGTATATAATGATGAATAAATATCATGCTATTAAAAACTCATGATTGGTAAGTTTTTAAATGAATACTTTATATTTTATGGATTCTAATGAAACATTTTTATATACTTTATTTTTGGAATGAAACATTAACAAAATATTGAGTATGAATAAGATATAGTACTTATGTCTGACATACCCAGTAGTATTAATTTCATTTTTGTACGTAGCTCGAGCTACATAAAGAGCAGGAATATCCAATGAAGATTCGGTTTCGGTAAACACAGCTTTGTTTTCCTCCCAAGTTATATATCCATACTTCGTTTCGCATATGGTTATAAGAGTTACCATTAACAGTAAACAATACCTCCAGCTAATTTTCATTGCAAATTAGGCGTACAAACCATAAAAATATATGCCTGTTCAGAATTAGCATTTAATCACAAAAAGATACGATAACAATAGCTTGTAAAAGTCGTAATGTCATGTATAAATAATTCCACACCAACAAACAGTATGTATTTTAACAGATAATATCATTGAAAATTAATAACGTAGTGAATAATCGTTTTGAACTTCTGACTTTTTGATAACTTTTGATTTGTTTATTTGTTTTGATCTTTTTACAATTGACATTTTGCCGCTATCTTTTTTTCCTACGCTATCTCTTTTTGGTTACGGACTCGTACCTATTATACTTTTGCCAGTGTCAAGTAATAACAAATTAACCTTTAAGTATGTGAATTTGTTTCACACACTAATTTACAATATACTGATGCGTCACATTGCAAAGTTTTTGAGAGATTTTATGAAACTCAACAAAAATAGGAAAACAGTTGTGACAAACTAACTTACAGTCCTTATGATGGTAAGTTGCGTTACTATGTAGTATCTATTGCAGTCCATGGACAAATTCGCTTTATTTCAAACAAATAAGGCAACAGATGCATTGCTATTGCCACCTGTGGGCGGGATTTAGTCTACTCCTGACTTTTTGATTTTATCAACAGGACTAGAATAACACCTATTCTGCTCTCCCATTCGGTTAGCAGTTTGGCGTATGGCTCTGGGAAAGAGCGCAGGTCGTGTTGATCCCCAGGGCAAGTCTGAGGAGTTCTTCTTCACGTGGTTGCCACCTGTTATTTGGTCTGGTTCAATAGGAAACAGACAGAATAGAAACACTCGGACGATACTCTTTTCCTTTTCTTTTATTCCACCACCTTTTCCTATCCTAATCAAATCCAAGGTGTCAAGCGTACAGTGCCGATGGATGCGTGTCTGGAGGGAGTACAGACGCAAACGGTGCCTACCCGAGACCAGGCGATTTGAGTAGTATTTTTGCCCTTCCTTCGGCATGTGGGGCTCTGCCGGGCGTGATCGAGTATTTCCCTAGCTAATCGTCGGAACAAAATGGTTGAAAACTGACATTTTAAAAAAGATAGTGAAAAATTTCTTTTAATGGAACTAGCTGTAGGTTTGGAAGAGGCTCTTTTAGCCTCACCAATACCCTGCAACATTGCGCCCCAACCTGGGACGAGCCGTGAAGTGGAGGGCACGTCTGCAGCCGAACTACAATCGGAAACAAATCAGGGAGGGGAAAAGAAAAAGTTATAAGCTTAATGGGGCAGCAAGGAAAAGGTACCGAAGGCTGATAGCAGCTGAGATAGGAGCCGAAGAGGCCCTCTTTCTCTGCCAGAAGCCCTGGGACGAAATTCCTCTGCCCAAGCCTCCGTCTGTTCCGAAGACGAAAAGACGCAATCGGTCTAAGGAAGAGACCCCTAAGACCAGTCTAAGAAGTCTGTGAAGCTGGCAACGGGGGAGAAGAAGCTCAGCTTCAGTGCCGTAGCTGGCTCTTGGTTTGTTGAAATGGTTTCCAACCAAAAATAGTGTGCTATGCTCAAGACACTTCACAGAAGACAATCTTCATATATAAAAACCGTAGAAGGCAGTTGGATTCCGCTATACCATCTCTATACTTTCCAGTTTTAGTATGGACTTTTACATTTTTTTAAAGTATAGTACCAATGTAGATTACACAATAAGTAATAGCATTAAGTTGTTGATTGAAACATGATATTCTAATATTTAGGCGAATGTAACACGTTGAAATTAAACTATTTTTAACGGATTTATAAATCGTAAAACAAGTGAAAGTTATAATGTGATTATTGTTATTCTAGTGACATGAACTGCAGTAATATCTTATTATTATTAAGTACATCTAAATTTGAAACACGTACCGTATGGTTTATTAATTAATAATAAACCAAATAAATAATGCTACTTTTAGGTACAGCACTTGGCGAAAATACTGTCACCACCGAGAGGACATACCAGACCACACACAAATGATTCACACCATTTTGTTAGTGAGATAAAAGACCCACATCTCGCTAACAATGAAACTATGGTCAGTTTTCGTGTTCAGTCACTATTCACAGGCCTACCTATTGAATACTGCATCTCAATAGTAACTAAGAAACTAGAAGATAACAACATGCCTGCAGAATTTGCAGTATTACTCAAACAATGCTTCACATCTGGCTATTTATTGTGGAAGGAAGAGTTCTACAAGCAAGTTGATGGTGTGGCAATGGGCTAACCTGTATCTCCTATTGTCACCGACATATTCAAGGAGAACTTTGAGGAGAAAGCCCGTCTTACTGCTCTTGTAAATCCAAGATTCTACAAGCGGTACGTCGACGAAACTTTCACAATTTAACCATCTGACAAACCAACAGCATTTTTAGACCACCATAACTTCATAAACTCTAAAATACAATTAACAATGAAGTTAGAGGCAAACAATTCTTTAGCCTTCCTAGATGTTTTAGCCATCCGAAATCCAGATAACACTATTGGTCACACAGTTTATAGGAAAAAGACCCATACCAACCGATATTTAAATGGTGAATCGATCGTTCATTCTTCACAGTTAGATACCGTGGTTTACACTCGTTCGTTTCAGAGAGCACAAGGGATCTGTGACAGAAAACATCTGATCGCAGAGTTTCAGTCACAGCGACTGAGTGAAGCCGGCCAGAGTCGATGGATGGGTGCTACCACAAGCCATCTGCAAAATCTACCCAAACCCAAGCATACCACTGCAAGACTTCAAGATATTGTGAGCTCGTTTTATATAGATCATCTCGACCATGTAGATCCAAAAATCAATTTTTAAAACTGAAGGTAGCCGGGCTAACTATGACATTGACCTGTCCCATCACTATGGTTGGGAGCATTCTAAATTCAACCTTGAATTATCCAATCACAGCGCATTTGACACGTCCACCGCAACTCATGCATGCCGCGAAATTCGGTAAAATCGAAACAGAACAAATATTCCATGATGCGGTATCTATTAGGGGGTAATCTGTGATTAGACATAACCTTTGCTACCAATAACATGTCCAGGCGAATAAATGACTGGCATGTTAGTAGCGAAAACTCGATGTCTGATTACAAGCACATTAAGTTTGTGATTGATACCAACCTATGAAACCATTACTTTTAGGGATCCAAAAGCGACCTCCTGGGATATCTACAGAGATAGCCTAAGGAGGAATTTGGAAACATTTCCCAAAAGCATCAAAACAATCGAAGGTATGAAGTTAGCGACGGAGACAGTAACCGTAGGTATCCGTGAAGCCTTCGAGGACAGTTGTCCCGTCAAAACCAAGACCTCAACACGAAAAGTTCCTCGGTGGAATACTAATCTAAAAGAACTTAGGGAAAAGACCAGGAAACTATTTAATAAGGCTTTTTTATTTTATTTAATATTTATAGTGTAGCTCTAACTGAATATAATAAAGAAATTAGGAATGCAAATAGAGTATCGTGGAGGAAACTATGCGAGGAAACTGAGCCTTTGCCTCGCAGTGCAAGACTACACAAAATGCTATCGACAGCTAAACCTAATCAGATCGGGCTTCTTAAAAAGTCGGATGGTAACTATACTAATAGTGAAACAGAAACATTGGAAGTACTAGCGTCAACCCATTTCCCAGGGTCACACAAGACTTTAACCTTGAATTCTTTCAGAGCCCTACGAAGGCCTTGTAATGAGGACTGGTGTAGGGCTGCAAAGATAATAAGGCGAAACCTGGTGCAGTAGGCTGTTGAGTCCTTTAAACCATTCAAAACAAGCGGGGAGGATGGAATAATTCCCATCCAACTGTAGATGGGTATTGACATCTTCTTCCCTATCTGGTGAAAATCTTCAGAGCAGGTTTTGCCTGGGGATGTATTCCAGAACGATGTACAATTGTCAAAGTTCTATTTATACCTAAGGCTGGTAGAAAGGACTACGCTTTACCAAAGTCCTTTAGACCTATAAGCCTATATTCCTTTCTCCTTAAGACATTGAAAAAGGTTATAGATAGATATATTAGGAATGTAGCTTTAGCTACGAGGCCTATACATTACAACCAGCATGCTTACCGCAGAGGCAAATCTACGGAAACAGCCCTGATCAGTGTCATTGACAGGGTCGAAAAAGTACTGGAGAATAAAGAAATAGCTTTTTGTGCCTTTCTAGATATTGAGGGCGTCTTGAACAGTAGCCCCACATCACTGCTGATTGGGGGCCTGACATCTAAAAATTTTAACCCCACAACCATCAGATGAAGGGTGAAGTCGATGCCTTCAAACATAAAGGTAAAATAGCGCTGTTTCTAACTACGATTGTGGTTGCAACTACAAGAGGCTGCACACAAGGAGGTGTTTTGTCACCCCTTCTTTGGACTCTTGCGGTTGACCAACTATTGTACAAAATTGCAGACCTACGCATTGACATACTAGGTTATGCTGATGACCTTGTGATCATTGCGTGGGGCTTTTGCCAAAGTACTATATCGTCGATCACACAAAGAGCCCTAAACGCCATAAATAACTGGTGTTAAAAATTAGTCCAATCAAAACTTAATGGTAAAGAAGTACCATTTTCCACGGCAGTTAAGTACTTGGGCGAAGAATCGACCAAAAACTAACGTGGAACTCTCACCTTAGCAACGTATGCCATAAGGAAAAAATTGCTTTAGGTACGTGCAGTCGTTTGGTCAGGAACAACTGTGGCTTGCGTCCCAGTATGGTCCTATGGCTGTACAGCAGCATAGTGAGGCCGATTCTCGCCGACGCCTCTATTGTCTGGTGTAACTAGGCCAACCAAAAGACGACTGTGGGCAGACTAAATAGTCTACAAAGGACTGCCTGCTTAATGGCAACTGGAGCTATGCGATCGTCGCCTGGAGCGGCTCTTAATGCACTTCTATGCCTAACACCCCTTGATCTCTATCTAGACAAGGAGGCGAGGCCTAGTTTGTATAGGATTAACGCCCGGGGCGGTGTGAGCTTGCTTTCCTACAGATTGAGATCCATGCTAGACTCAATTAAGGAATCACCGGTCTTATGCATGATCTCAGATATCATGCGTCCACTACACACTTTTGATAAAAAGTATGTAGTGGAATTACCCTCCAGAGAAGACTGGCTGAATGGCCAGGGTATCTGTGAGGTCGGTAGCCTCATATGGTATACCGATGGGTCTAAAATGGGCTAATTCAAACTTGTATGAATTTGGGTTGATACACCTCTATCTTCCAGGTAGAAATTTTCGCCATACTTCAGTGTGAGAAAAGCAATCTGCAAAAACACTACGTCAACCATATAATTTATACAAACTCTGATAGTCAAGCAGCACTGCTAGCGCCGAGGTCAAACTTAGTGAACTTGAAGCTAGTTGGAGACTGTGTGAACCATTTAAACGCCCTGGGATGTAACAACAGGGTCGTTTTAAGATGGATTCCCGGTCACGCGTGTATCTAAAACCTTAATCCGAGCTTTTGATCATAAATTCGCTTCAGAAGCCCTGAGATTAAGTAAAAATAAATTGCGCATTCCGGTAATAGCCCTAACTAGACACTGTTGTCTTAAAAAGCACATGTCCATCCTGGGAGTAAGCAACTCAAGGATGTGTCGGTTCTGTTCCATAACGGAAAAAACGCCTCTGCACATCCTAACTGATTGCGGACCCTTAATGCGCAAACGTAACACTTATCTGGGAAACTATGTACTCCGCCCAGAAGAAGTGAAATTGCTCACGGCTAAGCAACTCCTACTATTCATTGAAGACATAGGGCAAGGCTGGCCAATAGATTTTCCAGGTGAGCAAAATTTCTTAGACTGTGGCGGCGCCGGGCCACCGGTACTCCCATATTCATAAGGTAATTTATTATATACAATAAAGACAAAAATAAATATGCTATAATACTATAATAATGTACTAATAAAAAATATGTTATTTTATTTCATTTACAAATAAGTAAATGAAATAAAATAACATATTTTTTTAATTTAATGTGAGCTGTGAAGAGGTTTTCTTGATAGTAATTTGTCGATATTTGGTTTTAAATCTGAAGTTGATAGTACAATCAAATCCGAAATGTGTTTTGCAGTGAGAGATGTGCGATATTTATTTTTAATGTATGATAGAGTTGAAAATGTTTTTTCACACACATAGGTGGATCGAAACCTGCTTAAAATTTGCATAGCAAGGTCGCGCAATGTTGGGAAATCTTCATTAGAAACTTTTTCCAAAAATTTGCAGAACTTTCTGTTAGCTGCTCTGAAGATACGTTATCGGAGAAAATTTGTTTAAGGGCAGTGTGATTTTGAAGATCTGTCACTTCGATCTGAATGTTTGCTGGATATTCAAGCAGATCAGTAGAACTGATTGCAAAAGAATTTGAAGTGATGTGGGGAGATTCTTAATAAATTAATAAGTTCACGAATACAATAGTTCACATATAAAATACTGTTTATAATTTAGCACAAAGCGTAGCACAGAAGTTATTAGCACAAGAAGGAAGAAACAGTTCAAAGCAAGTAGCAAATAAAAACATTAGCCGGGCGCAAGCGTCATACGTCTTACAGTCACAGTAATATATTCTTACTAACTGCGTGGCGGGTGCGCCGCTTCGATGTCTTCAATCCTTTGTTCGATGCATTATCCGGGCGTCTTTACTACTCAACGACTTGATCACGATTTCTGCGACGATACGACACGACTTCAAGGTAAGTTTTATATTACTTATTTATTTTTGTATTTTATTTTAATTTTAAATGTTTATTTTTATTTCTCAGATTAATAACGCCACAGATTCATAAACAGCTTAATATTTTTCTTGTATCCTGGAATCTGTTTTCAAAAGACTCTTTTAAACATTTTATTTTTGATAGGTTTTTCGGGATATCTAGGGCAGTGATATTTAACCCTTCTTTTACACTTGCAAGTGTGGAAAAATGGTCGATTTTATTTCTCTCTAAGTTTGCTGCAAGCAAGTTTAACTTCCCTTTGAAACGATTGATCAAGTTTAACATTGTCGGAAGAGAACAATCTTTTCCTTGCAATTTAACGTTCAGAACATTAAGGTACTTCATAATGTCAACTACAAATGCAAGATCGCAAAGCCATAATGAATTTTTAAGCAGAGCTCTCTCTAATGATTTCTTAAATTTACGCGAAGACTACACTTTGAATAAAACTATTATTTACGGATTTTATCGCGTTCATGTTCATGTTCGCGTTCGTTCGTATCAGTCCCCCCGTGACCACGGGTGCTGTAAAGCACCCGAAACATCGGGATAATAAAAATAAATTAAAGTCGAATTAAACGCGATAAAATCCGTAAATAATAGTTTTATTCAGAGCTCTCTCTGCTGGTAATGCTTGTTTTTCTTCCCGAAAATCCAGAACCTGGTCCCTCAAATCATAAAAATGTTTCAACATTTCGCCCTTGGATAACCAGCGAACAGCGCAATAGAGATGTAATTCGCCGTATTCCTTAATTTCTTCTTCAAACAACATTCTGAATTGTCGGCGGTTAAGTGCTCTAGCACGTATTAATTTAATACAATGTACTACTGGGTCAATCACATCCTCGAACGTCATGTCTTTGCACAAAGCTTCTTGATGGATAGTACAATGATAAGAAAACTATTGTCGACCGATGTGATTTTGCAGCAAAGCCACAGCACCATTGGTTTTCCCCATCATCGCAGGTGCTCCATCAGTGCAAACTGAATTGCATTTATCCCAGTTTAGGTTCTTACCCTCAAGGCAATCTTTGAGTCTTATGAATATATCCTTTCCTGTGGTAGTAGTTTCAAGTTGACAGAGGTCCAATAAATCTTGAAATATATTGTCATCAATACAGTGTACAAAAACAGCTAACTGCGCCATACCTGTTAAATCGCAGGTTTCGTCCAATGCAAGTGAAAAATATCTGCATTTAGTGACAAACTCTGTAATTTTACTGATAATGTCTGTTGAAATTTCTTCTACTCGCCTCATTAGTGTGTTGCGCGAAAGTGAAATACTATCTGCCATGGCATTAACCTTTTGATCATTACATTTCTACGCAAAAATTGTCAAACTCTGTTTTATAATGTCCCCATCAGAAAACGGCTTTTCCTTTTAGCCAAGAGTAAAGATATTTCATACGATGTTTTGACCATGGCTTCCAATTCGTCATGTTGTTTTACAAAAATATTTTGCTGTGAAAATAGCTCTTTCTTCTTTTCCTTTATAAAATCTGTCCTTAATGCTGACCCCACTGGATACTCTTTTTCGAATTTCGCGTGGTTTTGTTTGAAATGCCGCTCTAAATTATATTTTTTAGCAACAGCTACTGTTGCTGAGCAAATGAGACACACCGGTTTGCGGGCTTTGCTCTCGGCGAAAAAGTATTTTGGTTACCATTCTTCGTGAAACGTCCGAGAGTTATCCTTTATTTTTGATGTACAAGGTTTGCTGAGGGCCATACTAAAACAATAGAGATTTAACTTGTAAACTGCAGTTAACGATTTTAATATGGAATGTAGGTAAGTAAAGTAAAATAATTGATTTGGACAGGCACAATACGACAATATTAATAAAACTTGTCTAAATACCTACTTACCTACAGTTATAACATAACGCACAATAAACAAACAAAAACCTAAAATGGTAGGTAGGTATCTAAATCAAAATCACAGCACGTACATAGTCACTTACCTGCAGAAAATTCAAATCCAAAGTTCTTATAGAATCTTTTCTAATTTTCAAAACAAATTCTCACCAAACTGATTTTATTATTGTAGTACCTAATCCAATGCACCCGAAGTAAAATTGGTACGTAGAGGTAGCGACAACACCCGAACGACGCGGATCGGTTGCGCCCGGGCGGGCATGTTTTCGTTTTAACCGACCAATCAGGTGGCGGCGGCGACACCGCGCGACCCGGCTTGCCGCTTGCGTGCAAATTCAAATGCCTTGGCGGGCCACTTCGTGGCCCGTGTCCCTGGGTTTGGCCGGCCTTGATCTTAGGACTTAGCAGTGAACTATAGCCATAGCAGCGTTCACAATAGATCTTTTAGGTCGCAGTGATACTGGTCTCTTTCCATAGACCTACATAGCTGCTCGCACATTATAAAAATAAATTACTACCTGTGAGGGTTACGATGAAATGCCTCACATCTTATAAATACTTGCTCAGCAGAAAACGAGTCATACCACATAGTAAAAGTTACAAATTATAATGCTTGTAAGTTACATATAAAACAAAACCGAAAACATTTGGTATGTAGCTCCAACAGCGTTAGTGTTTAAATCGCAGATCGACTGTTACTGTTTAATCGAGCGTATATGCGCGTCCATTACAGCCTATATAAATCTACTGCTGAACATAGGCGACCACTCCTACCATTTCTTCGTATCTTAAGGAATTATCCTTAAGATACTTCGAATTGATTTGAATTGATAAAGCAGCACCAAAATCCGTTGGTGGAGGGGGCGGGTGCCTACTCCTCGGATGGGGATGTTGCCCCCACCAGGAGACGTCCTAAGAACGTCCTTCTAGACCCCGATGACGAGATCACCTTCAAGAATAGGTTACTCCCCCCCCTTCCTTAAGAAAGGGAACTAGTATTGACACAACACGTACACATTCAGACATTACACTAGTACAGAACACTAGGGCACACACCGCGCTAGCCGGCGAGTGCGAAGTCATATACACATCCCGTATACGAGGTTCAACCACCGCGTTTCGGTGCGGTTTTAGTTGCGACCCGTTTCCACTCATCATGATAGTGGTTCAAGCCGAGGTAGTACCTCCCTAAGAGGGGCCCTTGAATTACATCGAGGCCCCTCCTAGCTTGAGGAGCCTCACTCCAAAAGCAGGAGTCGGGGTGCCTCGGGACTGTAGTCGCCTCGCCGACGACAGAATCGTTGCACTCAATAGCTCGTGGATCCTCACTCATGAGTCTATTTCGACAAAGCTGTTAAGGCCGCAGGGCCAAAAGCATAGGTACACTTTCAGATAAAAAAAAATAGGCGTCACCTTTCGATTGCATCATAGCTTGAAATTTGATATAGTTGCCAAACTTGGCGATTGGCAATGGCAGTTTTCTTTATTATTATAAGTTGTTACAAAGAAGATGCTGCTGCCAAAGCAAAAGCCAAAGGGATGGATGTACGTTGATAGTTGTTATACTGATGAATAAATAAAGCAAGCGGTATAGTTTCAGATGGTTAGACTTATGACTACCACTTTTGTCTGAAACTTTTTTAGTAGTTTTATACTAAAAGTTTATGACGATAGTGTTTCAATGATAACTTTGGTGTATGTTACCTTTGAAGCATTTTTACATTCGTTTCCATTGCCTACTAAGCACCAATTCGACGATTCAAAATCCGCTTAAAGCCTTTACTAAAACGAAAATATTGCAAGAGAAGCAATCCGTAGACGGTTAAACTCAAACCATAGTGGAACATGCACGCTCAAATTTTTTGACAGTTATTTGAACTGGTATCTTTCAGAGGCTAAGCTGTAGGAGCTATATGGGGGATGGTAACTTTTCTGATATTGTAACCTCCGTACCGTTTCTCCTACATTTAATATAGACATTCAGTATATGACACTCTCTCTTCAAACTCCATATCACTAGCAGAATTAGTAATTCGCATGTGATAGGGCCACGCTGCAGCTATATTATGGTTGTAGCACGAATGGGTCGGCTCGATCGGGGAAGGACCAAACTCTCACAGAATACCGGCGTAAAATAGCAGTTTAATATTGCTGTATTTCGTACGGTGAGTGTAGAGATCCGGAGACCCTTTTTTACTGGAAACGAAGCATTCTATCTTAGTTCTCAGGGGTGACAACGCATCTGCGTTTTGATTCTTAATCGAGGATAATTATAGATGTCTAAGGGCCACAGCAACCACTTACCATCAGCGCTGGACTGTGTGCTCGTTTGTGAACCTTATTCTACAAAAAAAATATGGTTGACCCTGCAGGCCATCTCTGGAACTTTCCGCTAATTTCAAATGCAAAACGCTCCAAATTTCACCAAATTATGTTGCGAAATCTCGATGTATGTTAAAAAAAACCTTTTTTTGAATTCTTCTCCATCGATATCTCACGAACGAATGAACCGATTTTTATTTTCTAAACGGCATTCCACGTCATTTTTTGGTTAAGAGCTGATTAGTTTTTGAAATCGACCGGTAAAGCCGTTTAAAAGTTATACCAAAAACAGTTTTTTTAAAATTTTATTTTTGCGATTTCTCAAAATTTACACGTCCGAAGAGTTCATATTATCACCAAATCTATTCCACATTAAGATCGTTAGAACGCCACAAACCGTATCTCAATCGATCATGATGTTCAAAAGTTATGAAAGATTACATACACACACACAGGGCACACGCAAGACACACATACATACATCTGTACGGAGATCCACATGAAATTAGTCAGAATAGCTTCCTGAAATCATTGGTTACAGCAACCTCCTAGCATGTTAAAGGTTAGTTCATGTGATGAAGCTGTATCCCTAGAGTAATTAATTTCGTTGTTGTTTAATTTTATTCGTTTATTTTATATAACATTTAAAGTTTATGGTTTCATAAGTTTAAAGTATACATTTAATAACAGTTTTTGTATTGTACAAAATTATTGATGATGTGGCTTTAATTTTAATTACTACCCGTGCGGTTAAAGCGATGGGATTGAAAATGGCGTCGCCTCTTTCGACTCTCGATCGCACACTGTCAAAGAATATATACACTACGCGAAACACTGTCGTTATCTTTACTCACATCTGCGGATAAAGATTGCAAAAAAATATACGTTGCGATATGTGTATTTCATACGTTCTATAACTTCAGTCCAACTTGTCATTGAAACCAATGACTACAAAATGCAATAAACTACAAAAACTTTAGGGCGGTTTAGCTAATTTGAGCTACGACGCGTTCTGAGAGTTATCATAAAAAATTTTGATTTTATTTGTTAATATTTTTAAAAAAATATTTGTATTCCATGGAGACATGAATAACCATTTTTTAAATTTTCCTTTGTCTGTAGGTCCGAGCTAATCTACGGAAAGGCCGAGCCGATTGTAACAAACCTTCATGAACAAATAGAGAGTAGTACCGGGAGTGATCTGGATTAAACTTTATACGAAAATTTTAGAGATTTTATTACAATAGAAATATTGATAAGATAAAATAAACGGTCTTAAACGATTATCTTAAGTCAGTCTTTCTCAAAGTGGGCGATAACGCCCCCTTGTTGGACACTTAGAGGGGGGCGTTAAGGGGCCCAGAAATAAATGGGGGGCGTTAGCGTGTTATAGAGGGCGATGGTTGATTTTTAATTTCATTTAGATAGTTATTTTAAAATTTACTGAAATTAAAACCTACCGACTACTAAATATCGAATAATTAGCTTATATTTCTGCTCTGTATGATGGTATATAAACTAGAAATAATTTCGTAGGATAGCCCGTATGCCGTACGCAAACAAGCTGTAACAAGTTTTTGATAAATAACGCTATTTGTGCAATCCGGTAGCAATCGGCTGGTTTACCGATACTTATCTTAATTTGCTCAGTACGATTGAGCGTCGAAAGAGATAAACGAGTGTGTGCGTATTTGTCTTTGCCGTTATGCCTGTCGGTGCGTGCGGTATTTTATCTCTTAAATCTATTAAATCCTATATAAAAGCCCCATATAATTTTTATATTTTCATTTGTGGTTTCGCGCGCATTCTTTAAACAAGTATTTAAGTTCAACACTTTATGTACATATTCGTAAAAACAAAGCCATGTCGGAAGCAAAAAAGACGAGATGGCAATATAGTGGAGAATATATTAAATATGGATTCATAAAAAATTCGACAAATCCATCTTTGCCTTTGTGCCTTCTTTGTTCAAAACTCCACCTTTTCAATTCTCCAGGAACAACTCAACACCCAGTCACAATCCTCGCTACGAAATGAAATGGAGATCATGGGCATCAACGAAAATGTCAGTGAGAACCTGCAACACATTGTCCTCGTT